GAACCATAAGCTCCAAGCACCCATTGGAGCAGGTGAGCCGTGGCGGGAAAGCACCTCATTGGCCGGGGGCTGCCCAGCTTGAGGCGGGCGGTAGCTATCCATTGGGGTGCAATGACCCCTCCCACCGACGATGGCAACCCATGGCGCCTATTTTTTACGCCAATCTAAAATGTGTGACTGCTGCCATCCGGGTTTCTTGGCCACGATTAGGTGGCCGAGGAGTGTCCTCTTCCCATTTTTGCACCTCTTATTGGCACAAAGCCCGGGCAGGTTATTCTGGAAATCCTGGGTTGCTCGTGCGTCAGGATCCCCTCCCTCGGCCTTGCTGGTGATGTCCAAAGGAGTGCGTAGCTCGACGTTTGGTACCAGTTTGGCTACAGGGGCTGCCGGGAATGTGTCGCAGTGCATCACAAAACCGCCTGAGGGGCTCCACTCCTGATTTTCTGTCGGGGTTCACTCCCTTAGCCATTGACTCTCCCGAGACACTCACAAGGCAGTGAGAAAACCGCGTAACCCTGGGAGGGGCCCTGACCAGGTACTGACAGCCGGGCCAGCTGTGCCTGAGACTCGCGTAAGGGAGGGTCGTCACACCCTGAGGTAGTTTATCACAAACTACCCGCCACCTCTTCGCTTCTACGTGGAACTAAACGGGTAGAAAAGTAGATGGCATTCTCAAAGCAATGACTTACCACAAGACAGTGTGCTCGCCCCACCTTTATTCAATATCTATACCAACAATCAGCCACTTCCTGAATATCAGCAGTTCATCTAAGCTGATGACCTCTGTATCACCACAGAGCAGAGACATTTTGAGAACACAGAGAAGATCCTGGAGAGGGCACTCGATGAGATGTCAAGATACTATCTAAATAATCATTTCAAAACCAACCCGAGTAAAAACTAAATCTGTGCTTTCCACCTGATGAACTGGGGTGCAGAGCGACACCTAATTGCCACCGGGGGAGACCAGAAACTTGAACACCAGAGTCATCCAGTGTACCTCTGGGTAACACTAGATCGTATACTCAGCTATAAAAAGCACAGTTTAAATATCAAAGCCAAGGTCAACACACAAATCAAGGGAGGGTGTGTACCGGATTAATTGCACTTGTGGCAAATTCTATGTTGGGCAGACAGGACGAATGATCAGCCCGAGACTAAAAGAACACCAAAGGAATATTAAATACTCCCAAATACAACTGTCGGCAGTGGCAGAACATGCGTGCGAACAAGGACACTCAATTTATTTTAATAATGTTGAAGTTATGTGCGGAACTAGTTACTACTGGACAAAACTAATGAGAGAATCTATCGAAATTGAGAGAACTATAAATAATTATTCTCCGTTTGAATAACTACAGGCTTGGTGCTGCTTGGAAGCGAATCGTCAAATAATACATTGTTTAAATGCATGCCTATACAGGTCACCATATGTCAATGGGGATTACCTTCACACAGAAAATTACAGGTACTGCTATTTTATTGCACACAAATGACAGGAGGTACAACAACAATGTGCATGCATAATGTACATGCATATTGTTGCCAATAAACTGCAACTTGAATCACTACCTATGAGATCTTCACTCAAAACTGCTCTAGCTGCCACTGCTATTCAGTGGCCTAAAATCAAATGTTTCCGTTCTGGATGACCGCTGCAACGTATGATCTTGTGTTTTGATTTAGTGTGCTGATCTTTAAAGGTGCATTTGAAAATGTTGATACTCCTACTGATGTTCCTGCTGTTGTGGAGTGACTCATGCAGCCAGCTGTGGCTGCAGGGTTTGGTGGTACATGTTGTTTATGTCGTTCATTGTGAAATTTCGGTCACAGTTCATATGATCACTGTTACATTGCAATTATGGCTTTATTTTGGTGATTTCGAAAACTTTTTTGGTTTGGCCATGTTTGTTTGTTGTAGTACGGAGTTAGACTGATGGCTTTAATCTAAGCTGTCTTGTGGTTGTTGTTGTTGTTTGACTTGCATCCCACTGGGATTTTTGCACAGCGTTGGTGTACGGTGCTTTTTTTCTGGAAGACTTTGCAGTTTTTTCCTGGATTTTTCTGTTTGCGCATAGTCACTTTAAGATGTTTTTCTTGTTCATGTTTTAGTTTTTTGTTTGTTGCGGTTACACCCGATTCAAGAGTCGAATGGCTCACAGGGCTAAACCAAATAAATGAAACTGAAAACTGAAACTGAAATGTTGATTACCAACTGGCAATGGATACCCATTATAATTTAGATGCATTCATTAATCCCCCCTTCGCACGTGAAGGGCTCACAAGTGATGTCATCACATCCATCACTCTATTTAGGGAACGAAACAGGAGGATTTCTCCAAAATCTGGCTGCCGCCTAATGAAGCTAGTTCTAATTACTGGCCTAACGTCATCCTCAGATGGAAAATGTTGTGGATTTGCTCTCCAACACACCAGTTAGTGCTGTACTCCTGTAGTGGCATAGCGCTGGCTTGCTGGCGAAAAAGGGTATCTGCGGTGTACAGCAGTCCTGACGTCAGCAGGCGACGATAGACACGAGAGGGGGACATCCTAGGGAAGTCTTCTTTGGTTCTTTCGGTAAAGTCACGTGGAATGAGAATAAAATAATAAATTGATAAAATAAAATAACACAATAATATTCTCACGACGTTTCGGCCACAACACAAGCGGCCTTCATCAGGTGAAGGGACGAGACTGTCTGGTAGGACAGCGCTGGAGGTCCCTTCACCTGATGAAGGCCACTTGTGTTGTGGCCGAAACGTCGTGAGAATATTATTGTGTTATTTTATTTTATCAATTTATTATTTTATTCTCATTCTACGTGGTGACTTTACCGAAAGAACCAAAGAAGATGAATCATTGCAGTCACGAAAGCATTAAAAGCGAAATCCTAGGGAAGGTCACAGAGGGGGGCCCCATCGGGAAGCCTCGGGATCCCGCTAGAAGGTTCCAGAAAGGAGATGTGCCTGGGGAGGAGCGAGACCGCGCTGGGAGTATAAGATAAGAGGGGCCACTGTGGGGGACCTCGGGGCTGTTGCTGGAAGCGGGATCCCCGTCGTGCTGCTCAAGTCCGTCGTCGTCACCATCTCCTCGTCGTCTTCATGATCCCGGCGCGCTGCCAGTCAGACAGCCCGCCGACTACTTTAACTAAGTAGTGCCGCCGACAATAGGCAGACTTAATAATAATAAAGTGTGCACCCACGTAGGGTGTTGTGTGTTATCCCAAGCGCCTCCAAGTCTTACTTTCTCCGAGTTAGTCACTACACTAGTAACGAATTGGCATGTTCTGTTTACGTGACAAACCATACTAATTGGCTGTGTCGGGTGGTGGTGGGTATAACGACACATTTGTATATTTATGCGATCTGACCCATAAAACCTATATTATAGATGATATTGGTCGCGAATGCCTACGTGTTAAACATACGAAACAACATTCTGCGAAAACTCCAAATTAAAAGTGGGGAGCACATCCATCCACTCTACGCACCGTTTGCCTTTGCACGTTGTTTCTCTGTGGCTGAATGTGCATGCTCTACCCGGGGACACTCAACCCACAGCAAACATGTCGACACTGCCCTAAATGACACGTGCAGAATTGTAACAGTGCCTGAGAGCCACCCCTGTTCCCTGCCTACATTGCACTTATAGCGCCCCCTAACATCAGGAAGAGGGTAGCACGTGACCACGACCAACAAGTCGTACAGTGGGACATCCGTCATCTGCTGTCATCGTGAAACAGCTTCTTGTGCGCCACTGACCACATTACCGGAATCTGCTAGAACTTCCCACTGGCAAAAGGGATGGGACAAATCAAATGACAACACTGCTTAATAAAGCCGGTGAGGAATCACCCACAGTGAGGAGTTCGTGTCTCGCTCCAACTCCAAACGGCTCACATGGCAGAGCCTAAACAGACTTAGAGTGGGTTTCGGCAGATGTGTGAGTGGTGAGTGTGTGGTGAACGGTGCGTATGTTTGCTAAGAGTGTGTACTGAGTGTGGCAAGTAAGTGTATGCTGAGTGTGTGCTGAGTGTGTGTGCCGAGTACGGTGAATGTGTGTGGTGAGTGAGTGTGTGGTAAGCATGGAGAGTGTGTGGTGAGTGTGTGGTGAGTGTGTGGTGAGTGTGTGCTGAGTGTGGAGAGTGTGTGTGTAGTGAGTGAGTGTATGGTGAGAGTAGTGAGTGTGCGGTGAGTATGGTGACTGTGTGCTGAGTGTGGTGAAGTGTGTGGTGAGTGATTGTAGTGAGAGTGTGGTGAGTGTGTGTGGTGAGTGTGTGGTGAGTGATTGGTGAGTGTGTGTGGTGAGTGATTGGTGAGTGTGTGTGGTGAGTGTGTGGTGAGTGTGTGGTGAGTGTGTGTGGTGAGTGTGTGGTGAGCACGGTGCCCGACTCACCACGTAGGAATGCCCCCATGCTAACACTGTGCACCATGGTGCTGAAAGCGGTGAGTGATTGGTGAGTGTGTGGTGAGTGTGTGTGGTGAGTGATTGGTGAGTGTGTGTGGTGAGTGTGTGTGGTGAGTGATTGGTGAGTGTGTGTGGTGAGTGTGTGTGGTGAGTGATTGGTGAGTGTGTGTGGTGAGTGTGTGGTGAGTGTGTGGTGAGTGAGTGGTGAGTGAGTGGTGAGTGTGTGGTGAGTGTGTGGTGAGTGTGTGTGGTGAGTGATTGGTGAGTGTGTGTGCTGAGTGTGTGGTGAGTGTGTGGTGAGTGTGTGGTGAGTGTGTGGTGAGTGTGTGTGGTGAGTGAGTGGTGAGTGATTGGTGAGTGTGTGTGGTGAGTGATTGGTGAGTGTGTGTGCTGAGTGTGTGTGCTGAGTGTGTGTGGTGAGTGTATGGTGAGTGTGTGGTGAGTGTGTGTGCTGAGTGTGTGTGGTGAGTGTGTGGTGAGTGTGTGTGCTGAGTGTGTGTGCTGAGTGTGTGTGCTGAGTATATGGTGAGTGTGTGGTGAGTGTGTGTGGTGAGTGTGTGGTGAGAGTGTGGTGAGCACGGTGCCCCACTCACCACGTAGGAATGCCCCCATGCTAACACTGTGCACCATGGTGCTGAGGGCGCGCCCTGAGTAGGGCTGCAGGGCCGGGTCTGCGCCACACGCCAGCAGCAGGCGGAGCAGCTCCAGACGGTCGCTCTCCACCGCGTCGTGGATCGGCCTGGGGGGGCGGGCGGGGGGTGGTGTGGGGGGGGGTACGGGGATCGCGTCAAACCTCCACCCCCTCCCCAACCTCCTCCCCCCCCTCTCAACCTCCACCCCCTCCTCCTCCACCTCGTCCCCAACCTCCTCCTCCCCTCTCAACCTCCACCCCCTCCTCCTCCACCTCGTCCCCAACCTCCTCCTCTCCTCTCAGCCTCCACCCCCACCTCCTCCACCTCGTCCCCAACCTCCTCCTCCCCTCTCAACCTCCACCCCCTCCTCCTCCACCCCGTCCCCAACCTCCTCCCCCCCCTCTTAACCTCCACCCCCTCCTCCTCCACCCCGTCCCCAACCTCCTCCTCCCCTCTCAACCTCCACCCCCTCCTCCTCCACCTCGTCCCCAACCTCCTCCTCTCCTCTCAGCCTCCACCCCCTCCTCCTCCACCTCGTCCCCAACCTCCTCCTCCCCTCTCAACCTCCACCCCCTCCTCCTCCACCTCGTCCCCAACCTCCTCCTCTCCTCTCAGCCTCCACCCCCTCCTCCTCCACCTCGTCCCCGACCTCTTCCCCCCCCTCTCAACCTCCACCCCCTCCTCCTCCACCCCGTCCCCCACCTCCTCCTCCCCCCCCTCTCCACTGACCCCCTCCTCTCCATCCTCCTACCACTCCTCAACTTACTCCTCATCTTCCTCCACCCTCACTTCAACCTTCCCACCCCCTCTCCCCCTCCACCACCCCCTTCCCCCTCTCAATCAACTCCCCGTGCATCCCCACATCTCCCCATGTATGTGTCTCGTGTCTCCGTATCCCGTGTCTCTGTGTCCCAGTATCTCCGTGTCTCTGTGTCTCGTGTCTCTGTGTCTCTGTGTCTCCGTGTCTCTGTGTCCCCGTGTCTCTGTGTCCCGTGTCTCTGTGTCCCCGTGTCTGTGTCCCCGTGTCTCTGTGTCCCCGTGTCTCTGTGTCTCGTGTCTCTGTGTCCCGTGTCTCTGTGTCCCCGTGTCTCTGTGTCCCCGTGTCTCTGTGTCTCCGTATCTCTGTGTCTCTGTGTCCCCGTGTCTCTGTGTCCCGTGTCTCTGTGTCCCCGTGTCTCTGTGTCCCGTGTCTCTGTGTCTCGTGTCCCGTGTCTCCGTGTCTCCGTGTCCCGTGTCTCTGTGTCTCTGCGTCCCCGTATCCCCCGATTCCCCTCCCCCTCCATGCCCCCCCCCTCTGTGCCCCCCACCCTCTGTGCCCCCCCCTCTGTGCCCCCCACCCTCTGTGCCCCCCACCTGCCCCCACCGCGTGCCATCCTGAGCGCTGCAGTTGACGTCTGCCCCGTGAGCCAGCAGGGCGCGGGCGATGGCCACGTGGCCTCTGGCGCAGGCCTCGTGCAGTGCGCAGTAGCCGGCGTTGTCACGGTGATTCACGTCGCACACCCCCGCGTCCACGCAGTACAGCACCACATCCTAGTGGGGGGGGGGGGGCATGGGGGGGGGGCACGGGGGGTGGTGGTTGTGGTGGTTGCAGTTGTGGATGTAGTTGTGGTCGTTGTGGTGGCTAAAGTAGTAGTGGCTATAGTACTAGTGGCTGTAGTAGTAGTGGCTGCAGTAGTAGTTGTGTCTGCAGCAGTAGTAGTAGTGGCTGTAACAGTAGTGGTTGTAACAGTAGTGGTTGTAACAGTAGTAGTAGTGGCTGTAACAGTAGTGGCTGTAACAGTAGTGGTTGTAACAGTAGTGGCTGTAACAGTAGTAGTGGTGGTCGTAGTGGCTGTAACAGTAGTAGTGGTGGTCGTAGTGGCTGTAACAGTAGTGGCTGTAACAGTAGTGGTGGTAGTAGTAGTGGCTGTAACAGTAGTGGCTGTAACAGTAGTGGCTGTAACAGTAGTAGTGGTAGTAGTAGTGGCTGTAACAGTAGTAGTGGCTGTAACAGTAGTAGTGGTGGTCGTAGTGGCTGTAACAGTAGTAGCTGTAACAGTAGTAGTGGTAGTAGTAGTGGCTGTAACAGTAGTGGCTGTAACAGTAGTGGCTGTAACAGTAGTGGCTGTAAAAGTAGTAGTGGTGGTCGTAGTGGCTGTAACAGTAGTGGCTGTAACAGTAGTAGTGGTGGTCGTAGTGGCTGTAACAGTAGTGGCTGTAACAGTAGTGGCTGTAACAGTTGTGGCTGTAACAGTAGTAGTGGTAGTCGTAGTGGCTGTAACAGTAGTAGTGGTGGTCGTAGTGGCTGTAACAGTAGTGGCTGTAACAGTAGTGGCTGTAACAGTTGTGGCTGTAACAGTAGTAGTGGTAGTCGTAGTGGCTGTAACAGTAGTAGTGGTGGTCGTAGTGGCTGTAACAGTAGTGGCTGTAACAGTAGTAGTGGTGGTCGTAGTGGCTGTAACAGTAGTGGCTGTAACAGTAGTAGTGGTGGTCGTAGTGGCTGTAACAGTAGTGGCTGTAACAGTAGTAGCTGTAACAGTAGTAGCTGTAACAGTAGTAGTGGTAGTAGTGGCTGTAACAGTAGTAGTGGCTGTAACAGTAGTAGTGGTGGTCGTAGTGGCTGTAACAGTAGTGGCTGTAACAGTAGTAGTGGTGGTCGTAGTGGCTGTAACAGTAGTAGCTGTAACAGTAGTAGTGGTAGTAGTAGTGGCTGTAACAGTAGTGGCTGTAACAGTAGTGGCTGTAACAGTAGTAGTGGTGGTCGTAGTGGCTGTAACAGTAGTAGTGGTAGTAGTAGTGGCTGTAACAGTAGTGGCTGTAACAGTAGTGGCTGTAACAGTAGTAGTGGTGGTCGTAGTGGCTGTAACAGTAGTGGCTGTAACAGTAGTAGTGGTGGTCGTAGTGGCTGTAACAGTAGCGGCTGTAACAGTAGTAGTGGTGGTCGTAGTGGCTGTAACAGTAGTGGCTGTAACAGTAGTAGTGGTGGTCGTAGTGGCTGTAACAGTAGTGGCTGTAACAGTAGAAGTGGTGGTCGTAGTGGCTGTAACAGTAGTGGCTGTAACAGTAGTAGTGGTAGTAGTAGTGGCTGTAACAGTAGTGGCTGTAACAGTAGTGGCTGTAACAGTAGTAGTGGTGGTCGTAGTGGCTGTAACAGTAGTGGCTGTAACAGTAGTAGTGGTGGTCGTAGTGGCTGTAACAGTAGCGGCTGTAACAGTAGTAGTGGTGGTCGTAGTGGCTGTAACAGTAGTGGCTGTAACAGTAGTAGTGGTAGTCGTAGTGGCTGTAACAGTAGTGGCTGTAACAGTAGTAGTGGTGGTCGTAGTGGCTGTAACAGTAGTGGATGTAACAGTAGTAGTGGTGGTCGTAGTGGCTGTAACAGTAGTGGCTGTAACAGTAGTAGCTGTAACAGTAGTAGCTGTAACAGTAGTAGTGGTAGTAGTGGCTGTAACAGTAGTAGTGGCTGTAACAGTAGTAGTGGTGGTCGTAGTGGCTGTAACAGTAGTAGCTGTAACAGTAGTAGTGGTAGTAGTAGTGGCTGTAACAGTAGTGGCTGTAACAGTAGTGGCTGTAACAGTAGTAGTGGTGGTAGTAGTAGTGGCTGTAATAGTAGTAGTGGTGGTCGTAGTGGCTGTAACAGTAGTGGCTGTAACAGTAGTAGTGGTAGTAGTAGTGGCTGTAACAGTAGTGGCTGTAACAGTAGTGGCTGTAACAGTAGTAGTGGTGGTCGTAGTGGCTGTAACAGTAGTGGCTGTAACAGTAGTGGCTGTAACAGTAGTAGTGGTAGTCGTAGTGGCTGTAACAGTAGTGGCTGTAACAGTAGTAGTGGTGGTCGTAGTGGCTGTAACAGTAGTGGCTGTAACAGTAGTAGTGGTGGTCGTAGTGGCTGTAACAGTAGTGGCTGTAACAGTAGTAGTGGTAGTCGTAGTGGCTGTAACAGTAGTAGCTGTAACAGTAGTAGCGGTAGTAGTAGTGGCTGTAACAGTAGTGGCTGTAACAGTAGTAGCTGTAACAGTAGTAGTGGTAGTCGTACTGGCTGTAACAGTAGTAGTGGTAGTCGTAGTGGCTGTAACAGTAGTGGCTGTAACAGTAGTAGTGGTAGTAGTAGTGGCTGTAACAGTAGTGGCTGTAACAGTAGTAGTGGTGGTCGTAGTGGCTGTAACAGCAGTCGCTGTAACAGTAGTAGTGGTAGTAGTAGTGGCTGTAACAGTAGTAGTGGTAGTCGTAGTGGCTGTAACAGTAGTGGCTGTAACAGTAGTAGTGGTGGTCGTAGTGGCTGTAACAGTAGTGGCTGTAACAGTAGTAGTGGTAGTAGTAGTGGCTGTAACAGTAGTGGCTGTAACAGTAGTAGTGGTAGTAGTAGTGGCTGTAACAGTAGTAGCTGTAACAGTAGTAGTGGTAGTCGTAGTGGCTGTAACAGTAGTGGCTGTAACAGTAGTAGTGGTAGTAGTAGTGGCTGTAACAGTAGTAGTGGTGGTCGTAGTGGCTGTAACAGTAGTAGTGGTGGTCGTAGTGGCTGTAACAGTAGTGGCTGTAACAGTAGTAGTGGTGGCCGTAGTGGCTGTAACAGTAGTAGCTGTAACAGTAGTAGTGGTAGTCGTAGTGGCTGTAACAGTAGTAGCTGTAACAGTAGTAGTGGTGGTCGTAGTGGCTGTAACAGTAGTGGCTGTAACAGTAGTAGCTGTAACAGTAGTAGCTGTAACAGTAGTAGTGGCTGTAACAGTAGTAGTGGTGGTCGTAGTGGCTGTAACAGTAGTGGCTGTAACAGTAGTAGTGGTAGTAGTAGTGGCTGTAACAGTAGTAGTGGTAGTAGTGGCTGTAACAGTAGTGGCTGTAACAGTAGTAGTGGCTGTAACAATAGTAGTGGTAGTAGTAGTGGCTGTAACAGTAGTGGCTGTAACAGTAGTGGTCGCTGTAACAGTAGTGGCTGTAACAGTAGTAGTGGTAGTAGTGGCTGTAACAGTAGTGGCTGTAACAGTAGTAGTGGTAGTAGTAGTGGCTGTAACAGTAGTGGCTGTAACAGTAGTGGCTGTAACAGTAGTAGTGGTAGTAGTAGTGGCTGTAACAGTAGTAGTGGTAGTAGTAGTGGCTGTAACAGTATTGGCTGTAACAGTAGTGGCTGTAACAGTAGTAGTGGTAGTAGTAGTGGCTGTAACAGTAGTGGCTGTAACAGTAGTGGCAGTAACAGTAGTAGTGGTAGTGGTGGCTGTAACAGTAGTGGCTGTAACAGTAGTAGTGGTAGTAGTAGTGGCTGTAACAGTAGTGGCTGTAACAGTAGTGGCTGTAACAGTAGTAGTGGTAGTAGTAGTGGCTGTAACAGTAGTAGTGGTAGTAGTAGTGGCTGTAACAGTAGTGGCTATAACAGTCGTAGTGGTAGTAGTAGTGGCTGTAACAGTAGTGGCTGTAACAGTAGTAGTGGTAGTAGTAGTGGCTGTAACAGTAGTAGCTGTAACAGTAGTCGCTGTAACAGTAGTAGTGGTAGTAGTAGTGGCTGTAACAGTAGTAGTGGCTGTAACAGTAGTGGCTGTAACAGTAGTAGCTGTAACAGTAGTAGTGGTGGTCGTAGTGGCTGTAACAGTAGTAGTGGTGGTCGTAGTGGCTGTAACAGTAGTAGTGGTAGTAGTAGTGGCTGTAACAGTAGTAGTGGTAGTAGTAGTGGCTGTAACAGTAGTGGCTGTAACAGTAGTGGCTGTAACAGTAGTAGTGGTAGTCGTAGTGGCTGTAACAGTAGTGGCTGTAACAGTAGTGGCTGTAACAGTAGTAGTGGTAGTCGTAGTGGCTGTAACAGTAGTGGCTGTAACAGTAGTAGTGGTAGTAGTAGTGGCTGTAACAATAGTGGCTGTAACAGTAGTGGCTGTAACAGTAGTAGTGGTAGTAGTAGTGGCTGTAACAGTAGTGGCTGTAACAGTAGTAGCTGTAACAGTAGTAGTGGTGGTCGTAGTGGCTGTAACAGTAGTGGCTGTAACAGTAGTGGCTGTAACAGTAGTAGTGGTAGTCGTAGTAGCTGTAACAGTAGTGGCTGTAACAGTAGTGGCTGTAACAGTAGTAGTGGTAGTCGTAGTGGCTGTAACAGTAGTGGCTGTAACAGTAGTAGTGGTAGTAGTAGTGGCTGTAACAATAGTGGCTGTAACAGTAGTGGCTGTAACAGTAGTAGTGGTAGTAGTAGTGGCTGTAACAGTAGTAGTGGTAGTAGTAGTGGCTGTAACAGTAGTGGCTGTAACAGTAGTAGTGGCTGTAACAGTAGTAGTGGTAGTAGTAGTGGCTGTAACAGTAGTGGCTGTAACAGTAGTGGCTGTAACAGTAGTAGTGGTAGTAGTAGTGGCTGTAACACTAGTGGCTGTAACAGTAGTGGCTGTAACAGTAGTAGTGGTAGTAGTGGCTGTAACAGTAGTGGCTGTAACAGTAGTAGTGGTAGTAGTAGTGGCTGTAACAGTAGTGGCTGTAACAGTAGTGGCTGTAACAGTAGTAGTGGTAGAAGTAGTGGCTGTAACAGTAGTGGCTGTAACAGTAGTGGCTGTAACAGTAGTAGTGGTAGTAGTAGTGGCTGTAACAGTAGTGGCTGTAACAGTAGTGGCTGTAACAGTAGTAGTGGTAGTAGTGGCTGTAACAGTATGGCTGTAACAGTAGTAGTGGTAGTAGTAGTGGCTGTAACAGTAGTCGCTGTTAACAGTAGTGGCTGTAACAGTAGTAGTGGTAGTAGTAGTGGCTGTAACAGTAGTAGTGGTGTAGTAGTAGGGCTGTAACAGTAGTGCTGTAACAGTCGTAGTGGTAGTAGTAGTGGCTGTAACAGTAGTGGCTGTAACAGTAGTAGTGGTAGTAGTAGTGGCTGTAACAGTAGTAGCTGTAACAGTAGTGGCTGTAACAGTAGTAGTGGTAGTAGTAGTGGCTGTAACAGTAGTAGTGGCTGTAACAGTAGTGGCTGTAACAGTAGTAGCTGTAACAGTAGTAGTGGTGGTCGTAGTGGCTGTAACAGTAGTAGTGGTGGTCGTAGTGGCTGTAACAGTAGTAGTGGTAGTAGTAGTGGCTGTAACAGTAGTAGTGGTAGTAGTAGTGGCTGTAACAGTAGTGGCTGTAACAGTAGTGGCTGTAACAGTAGTAGTGGTAGTCGTATTGGCTGTAACAGTAGTGGCTGTAACAGTAGTGGCTGTAACAGTAGTAGTGGTAGTCGTAGTGGCTGTAACAGTAGTGGCTGTAACAGTAGTAGTGGTAGTAGTAGTGGCTGTAACAATAGTGGCTGTAACAGTAGTGGCTGTAACAGTAGTAGTGGTAGTAGTAGTGGCTGTAACAGTAGTAGTGGTAGTAGTAGTGGCTGTCACAGTAGTGGCTGTAACAGTAGTAGTGGCTGTAACAGTAGTAGTGGTAGTAGTAGTGGCTGTAACAGTAGTGGCTGTAACAGTAGTAGTGGTAGTAGTAGTGGCTGTAACACTAGTGGCTGTAACAGTAGTGGCTGTAACAGTAGTAGTGGTAGTAGTGGCTGTAACAGTAGTGGCTGTAACAGTAGTAGTGGTAGTAGTAGTGGCTGTAACAGTAGTGGCTGTAACAGTAGTGGCTGTAACAGTAGTAGTGGTAGTAGTAGTGGCTGTAACAGTAGTGGCTGTAACAGTAGTGGCTGTAACAGTAGTAGTGGTAGTAGTAGTGGCTGTAACAGTAGTGGCTGTAACAGTAGTGGCTGTAACAGTAGTAGTGGTAGTAGTGGCTGTAACAGTAGTGGCTGTAACAGTAGTAGTGGTAGTAGTAGTGGCTGTAACAGTAGTGGCTGTAACAGTAGTGGCTGTAACAGTAGTAGTGGTAGTAGTAGTGGCTGTAACAGTAGTGGCTGTAACAGTAGTGGCTGTAACAGTAGTAGTGGTAGTAGTAGTGGCTGTAACAGTAGTAGTGGTAGTAGTGGCTGTAACAGTAGTGGCTGTAACAGTAGTAGTGGTAGTAGTAGTGGCTGTAACAGTAGTGGCTGTAACAGTAGTGGCTGTAACAGTAGTAGTGGTAGTAGTAGTGGCTGTAACAGTAGTGGCTGTAACAGTAGTAGTGGTAGTCGTAGTGGTAGTAACTCACGCGGTATCCCAGCCGTGCGGCCCTCTGCAGCAGCGTCTCCCCGGCGTTCTTGTTCACGATTAGGCGCCTCGCTTCGGGGGGGGGGCGTGCCCCCGCCCCCCCCGCCCCCCCTCCGCCCCCCGCAACCCCTCCCTCGGGCACCCACTCTGCCAGGCGGCTCCGCCAGGCCCCCCGGTCGCCCGCCGCCACCGCTGCCTGTAAGCACCCCCCAGGAGCGGAGGTGACACGGCGGCCTCCCCAGCGGTTCCCCGCAACGTCATCCTCTGCTGCTGTGTGGTGTAGCCTAGGGGCTCCCCCAGTGGGTGCTGTCTCTGTGTGGTGTAGCCTAGGGGCTCCCCCAGTGGGTGCTGTCTCTGTGTGGTGTAGCCTAGGGGCTCCCCCAGTGGGTGCTGTCTCTGTGTGGTCTAGCGTAGGGGCTCCCCCAGTGGGTGCTGTCTCTGTGTGGTGTAGCCTAGGGGCTCCCCCAGTGGGTGCTGTCTCTGTGTGGTGTAGCCTAGGGGCTCCCCCAGTGGGTGCTGTCTCTGTGTGGTGTAGCCTAGGGACGCCCTCAGTGGGTGCTGTCTCTGTGTGGTCTAGCGTAGGGGTAACCCTCGTGGTAACTGTCGCTGCGCGTTAGTCTGCTGCCAGTAGGGGACGATGATTGCTGTGCCGTCTAGCCTTGGGGAACCCCCAGTGGGAGCTGTCCCTAAACAGTCAGTCCTGCTACAACACGTGGTGTTGGATATATAATGCGGTCGAGCGAGCGGAATCTACATCTCGTGGGAATAGGCGGCGGTTGCAAGGGCCGTTAAAGCGAGTCACTTAACACCCTTCCATCGTTTTCTCTCTTCCTCCTCCGACATCGCTACGTCTTCTATCGCTTGGCGACTAACATTTTAAAACTTTTCACGAATGTTTCCTTCAATTATTTATTTTACTTAACAAAATAAAACACAGTACAGTAGACTGGATTATCCACATGCGGTTTATCAGATTTGCATATTAACTGCGCACCTGAGATTTTGACATACATTAAAAACCGGTGGATTTTCCCTTAAGCCCAAATTAATAATCTAAAAATAATTATACAGCGTTATTCTTGGTAATGTATACTAAAAGCCACGTGCTTAAACCGAAGAAATATGTTGCTCCGGTTAATCAAAATTCCACGTGATTGCCCCTACGGCACAGTAGATGCAACATCTCTACAACAGCGGGGCGGAGTTTGACGTTGATTGGCGTGGCTCTGCTACTGTCGTCCACGAAGTGGGCCGAGTCTTCTGCTGGGCAGGAGCCAGGGAAGTTTCATCATCGCCTAGCACGCGCCTCATCGAGCGGCCGATCTTTAGGATTTGTTCTAAGTCGAAAGAGTAACAATCAAAATCGTCAGTTGTGCCTCATTTTGAGTGATTTATCCGATCGTTTATTTTGAGAGTTTTCATTTACGCAAACTGTTCAATGGCAGATAAAAGGCGAGCGTGTTGTTTCAACTTTAAATCAGAAACTGTATATTATATGTAAATTGAAAGATATAGCTAAAAACCACTCGTATTGGTATAAATTGAGATCCGCGGAAAATTAATATTTTTGGATTATCCGTGATTTTGAATTATCTGCGGCAATCCTCCCCATCATTAGCGTGGATAATAGAGTTTACCGTAGTTATAAAAGAACACGTAAAATTCAACAATATGACATTATGATGGAAAATGTTAGTAATGTCGGTGTTTTTAGAAACATGCCACCCCTTAATACCTTCATTCCCATTGAATCGATGGTTATATTGAACAATATTTTGCCATCACGCGGTGTCCCTCACTTCCCCAGGAACGTATGCGTTATAGGAGAAACTGACTGTACGTTACTCTGCTGCCAATAGTCGATAAAACCCCATTTGGGTTCCTCCAGACACTGGACACCACTGCGATTGGCCACGTGGAATGTCCGTAATGCTCACTGTGGAGGAGAGGCTGCCATTCCTCTATCAGGAGCTGGACCGGTACCGCCTCGACCTCTGTGTGGAACACAGGAGGTCTGGTGGACCAGTTCTGGCTCAAGTCACCATTAGGGGTGGGACAGTCCTCCTTTGGGGGCAGGAGACGGCCAAACAACAGATAGTGACACTTCTTTTGAAACAAAATAATGAAGAGGGTGTGGGAGCAAGGCAGTGATGTGTGGGAAGCTGTAAGTCCCAGGCTGCTGTGGGCTCGCCTCCCTATCAACGGGAGGCCATGAATTGTGATGCTGGCTTACGCCCCCACCAAAGATGAACTTCAGTAGGGGGATGCAGGCAAGGCCGATAAGTCAGATGGCTTCTATGACCTGCTGTCACAGGTGCTAGCTAAAGTGGCCCCTCAGGATAAACTAATCCTTATTGTGTGACTTTAATGCCTGAGTTAGTCGTGACGCTGGCACCTTGGCTGGAGTGACTGGAAGGCATGGGCCAGATCAGCTCAATAACAACAGAGGAGGCTGCTAGAAATGTGCAGCCCATGGGCTTGTAATCACCAACACGATGTTCCAGCATCAGCACATCCACACATCATGGATGCAGGTCCAAGCAATAAGATCTACTGGACTATAGTGACAGAACAGCAGATGCGGGCCCTTGTCCTTGACACCAGAACCTACCGAAGGGCTGATCTGCCCACTGATCATCAGCTTGTCAGCTGTAAGACGCACCTGCCATTCTTCCACTGCTGTGGAGGGTGTTCATCTAGGACCCCACTCAAACCCAGCGACATGGTCTCAGCTCGCTGAATGAAAACCTTCGATACTTCACGTGGCCTCAACGTGCACCTAGCCTGGCACATGTGACGTGGTGATGTCACCGTCGCTTACCGTATTTTCCTGCAAGTAACCCGCAGGGTATACCACTTTTTACAAACAAAACAAGACCCTGCGGGGTATATGGAGGTGCGGGCTATCCCAAAAATTTTTTACACGTGTGACATGTCATAACTCGTAAAAAAATTACATGATAGGACTATTCACTATGCAACCTTTGAGTAAAGCACTGCTGAATAAACCACTCACTCTAAAATTGCACATGTTATCACGTTTTAAATTATTCGAATTGTTTGTACAATGAAACGACAATGTTTGAAGTGGGCGCACTTTGTTTACCGTAATACTTTCAGTGGCTGTAGGGGGGTGCGAAAGTTTCAGCTGAGGCTATGGATTGCACAATGGGAAGGGCCTTAACAAGCGTCCACCAGACGTGGAATCATAATTGCTGAGTCCCTTAGGCCGCTGCTATTGGCTGAGCACTATGCAGTCGCGACCATGAGCTTTGTTTCAAACTTCCAATTGCTTTGTTGCCAGGAGGCAATGGCGTCACCGAAGTGCCGCTATTGTCTGCGCAGTGCGCAATCTGCCAGTGCTAAAACCGTACAGGGGTCCAGTAGCTGTAATATGATGAGGTCGATTGCTGGTAAGCCTAACAGTATGCTTACTTATCTACCAGTTATGTGTTACTTATTTATTGAATATTTACTTTTGTTACTTATTTACTGTTTTAAGTTCACTCGTTTCGTTTGTTTTCTTTGTGCGCGTTATGATTTTAATGTTCACAATTGATAGTGGAATGTATTACAAATGTAAAATTTGTATATGATGGAATTAAGCTGCGGTAACGACGTTAAAGATATGAATGCCTGCAGGGTATATGGAGGTGCGGGCTATCTGAAATTTGTTTTACGCAAAACGCTATTTTTGCGGGGAATATGCGTGTGCGGGTTATATGCGGGAAAATACGGTAGTAGCGATGGTGGTTGTTGTCACCTAAAATGGAGGGGACAGGGGCCTAAAGAGGAAGGGGCAGGGCCTAAAGATGAGGGGGTGGGGCCTACATAGGATGGGGCGGGGCCTAACGAGGAAGGAGCGGTACAAAACCATACAGGCCAAGCAGACAGCAACACAAACATGACGCTGCAAACGGAGCCATGGCTCCTCCGTCCGCCCGCCCCCCCCACCCCGCCCCCTTAGCACGCAAGCGATGGAAGCGAGAGTCTGGATTGTGGTCGATGGTAGGGTCCCTCATACAGGGACCCTCCCGTTAAACTCCCCCGTTTTCATCAACATTCCAACGCCGCCAATGGTAAACCATTGACCGAATCCGGACAGAAATGTCCCATGCTGCATGCCACCCGATGTACAGATGGGCACCATCAACGATTCGGCGGCCTGCGAAACCATCGATCCACTGTGCTTCTGAACAGAGAATTGTGGCGGATAACAAGACCTCAAAAATACATCTTTAACCCACTGCTATTTATCCGTATGGAAGAAGAAGAAAAAGCACGGAGGGACCGGCGTTGCCCCACCTGCGTCATCTCCATGTCGGCATCCCCCACTGTCTCCTCCTGCGCTCCTCCTCCGCTCAGGTGCTTGCTCTTGTACTTGCGTTTGCCGGGCAGCTTGTCCCTCTCTCCCCCTCCGGGGGGGCCCTCCAGTGGGACCCCCACCCGCCGGCGCTTGGCGGGGGGCGCGGCCCCCCACTCATCGTGCCGCTGCTCCCCACCCAGGAGCAGCGGGCGACGCTTGTGCGGCTTCCGGCCTCGCCGGGCGCCCTGCTGCTGAAGATGACGGTGCTGCTGCTGATGATGATGACGCTGCTGCTGCTGCTGATGGCGCTGCTGTTGATGACGCTGCTGATGGTGTTGCTGCTGTTTCTGCAGCTGTGTTGGCTGTGTGCCGTGCGCTAGCGTCAGCTGTGAGGCCTGCTGCTGCTGTTGCTGCTGATTATGCTGCTGCTGCTGTTGATGGGGATGATGCTGCTGTTGCTGCTGCTGTTGCTGCTGCTGTTGCTGCTGCTGTTGCTGCTGCTGTTGCTGCTGCTGTTGCTGCTTCCGCATTGGCTGTGGAGGCTGTGAGGCCTGATGTTGGTGCTGTTGTTGCTGCTGCTGTTGCTGTTTCCGCGTTGGCTGTGCAGTGTGATGTAGGACAAGCTGTGCGGTCTGCTGCTGCTGTTGCTGTTTCCGCGTTGGCTGTGTGGTGTGATGTAGGGCAGGCTGTGAGGGCTGCTGCTGCTGTTGCTGCTGCTGTTTCCATGCCGGTTGTGTGGCGTGGGGAAGAACCGACTGTTGTTGCTGCTGCTGATGCTGCTGTTGCTTTTTTCGCGTAGGCTGTGTGGTATGGGGTAGAGCAGGCTGTGAGGCCTGCTGTTGATGCTGCTGTTGCTTCTGATGCTTTTGCTGATGAAGATGCTGTTGTTGATAGTGATGCTGCTGCTGTTGCGGCTTCTGATGCTGTTGCTGATGAAGATGCTGCTGCTGTTTCCGTATAGGCTGTGTCGGCTGTGTTGAATGGGTCATTGCTGTCTGTGAGGCCTGCTGCTGCTGATGCTGCTGTTGCTGCTGATGCTGCTGTTGCTGCTGATTCTGCTGTTGCTGCTGATTCTGCTGTTGCTGCTGCTGCTGACACTGATGCCGATGCTGTTTCCATACTGGCTGTGTGAAGTTAACAGCTGGCTGTGAGGCCAACTGCTGCTGCTGATGGTGCTGACACTGACTTAGCTGCTGCTGATGCTGACACTGAGGCTGATGGTGCTGTTGGTGCTGCTGACACTGATGCTGCTGTTTACGCTGGGCCACCTGCTGCTGATGCTGCTGAGCCTGATGCTGCTGCTGCTGATGATGATGATGAAGACACTGATGCTGCTGTTTCGGCAGCTGCGCTGGTGGTGTGGAGTGAGGCACACTCTGCTGCTTATGCTGTTGCTGATGATGATGCTGCTGCTGTTGCTGATGATGCTGCTGTTGCTGATGATGTTGCTGCTGCTGCTGAAGATGATGATGCTGCTGCTGATGATGATGCTGCTGGATTGGCTGCCTGTGGTCTCTGCGCGGTGGCCGTCTTGCAGGCTGTGCCGCCTGTGCCCTGGGCTGCTGCTGCTGCTGCTGTTGCTTGGGCTGTCCCTTCAGCCGCCTGTCTCTCTGCTCTGGTGACTGTTCTGCCTGGGCACTGCCCGTCGGCTTGTGCGGCTTTTCTCTCCACTGACTGGCGAGCTGTTGTGGTGGTGGTGGCTGTAGTGGTGGTGGTGGTGGCGGCTGTAGTGGTGGTGGCTGTAGCTGTGTGACAGCCTGTCCTGTGCTGTACATGGACCGCTCAAGCGACTTTGGCATGGAAGCCGGCTGTGGTGCCGGCTGTAGTGCCAGCTGTAGTGTCGGCTGTAGGGCCGGCTGTAGGGCTGGCTGTAGGGCCGGCTGTAGGGCCGGCTGTATGGCTGGCTGTACGGCCAGCTGTAGGGTCTGTGGTAGGGATGGCTGTAGTGCCGGCTGTAGGGCTGGTTGTAGGGTCAGTTGTAGGGCCGGCTGTAGTTTCTGCTGTAGAGCCTGCTGTAGGGTCGGTTGAAGGGCTGGCTGTAGGGTCTGTGGTAGGGATGGCTGTAGTGCCGGCTGTAGGGCTGGTTGTAGGGTCAGTTGTAGGGCCGGCTGTAGTTTCTGCTGTAGTGGTGGCTGTAGGGTCGGTTGAAGGGCTGGCTGTAGGGCCGGCTGCAGGGCCAGCTTTAGGGCCGGCTGTAGGGTCGGTTGTAGGGTCGGTTGTAGGACTGGCTGTAGTGGTGGCTGTAGTGGTGGCTGTAGGGTCTGTTGTAGGGTCGGTTGTAGGACTGGCTGTAGTGGTGGCAGTAGTGGTGGCTGTAGGGTCTGTTGTAGGGTCGGTTGTAGGACTGGCTGTAGTGGTGGCTGTAGTGGTGGCTGTAGGGTCTGTTGGAGGGTCGGTTGTAGGGTAGGTTGTAGGGTAGGTTGTAGAGCTGGCTGTAGTGGTGGCTGTAGGGTCGGTTGTAGGGTAGGTTGTAGAATAGGTTGTAGGGTAGGTTGTAGAGCTGGCTGTAGTGGTGGCTGTAGGGTCGGTTGTAGGGTAGGTTGTAGGGTCGGTTGTAGGACTGGCTGTAGTGGTGGCTGTAGGGTCGGTTGTAAGGTAGGTTGTAGGGTCGGTTGTAGGACTGGCTGTAGTGGTGGCTGTAGGGTCTGTTGGAGGGTCGGTTGTAGAGCAGGTTGTAGGGTAGGTTGTAGAGCTGGCTGTAGTGGTGGCTGTAGGGTTGGTTGGAGGTTCAGTTGTAGGGTAGGTTGTAGGGTAGGTTGTAGAGCTGGCTGTAGTGGTGGCTGTAGGGTTGGTTGGAGGGTCGGTTGTAGAGTAGGTTGTAGGGTAGGTTGTAGAGCTGGCTGTAGTGGTGTCTTTGGGGGTGGTTGTAGGAAACTCAGGGTCGCGGTGTTCATTGGAAGTTGCCGAGTCCACAGTCCAATGCATGCCTGTACGTCTGGTTGTGTGTCCCTCCTTCTGTCGTCCGGCTGTGTGTCCGGCTGTGTGTCTTGCTGTGTGTCCAGCTGTCTCCCGGATAGCCTGTCTGGCTGCACGTCTGCCTGTCCCTCCAGCTTATTGTCTGACTGTCCACGGGGCTGTCTCTCGAACTGCCTGTCCTGCTGTTGTTTGTCCAGCCCTTTACCTGGCTGTCTTTCAGGCTGTCCCCCGGGCCATCCGTCAGGCTGAAAGTCCAACTGTATCTTTGGCTGCCTGACCCTCAGCGCGTCTGGATGTGTGTCCAGTGACGTCTCCGCCCCTTTGTCCGCCTGCGTGTCTGCCTCACTGTCCGACTGTGCATCCATAGATGTGTGCAATGTCTCCAGGTGAATCTGCACACGGAGGCTGTTCATACACCCTGCGCACCAATCACACACAAGCACACAGAGAGACAACAGCGTGAGTGGGGGTCATGGGTAGACACGTATCTGTGCGTATGTGTGTACACGTGTGTCTGTGTGTGCAGTAGTAGTGGGGAGCAATAGAGTAGTGTATTCTTGGGTCTTTCGATAAAGTCACATAGATAGGTTCAAAGAAAATAACAAAAAATAACAAAAAACTACGACTTTCGATTGCAACACAAGCGGTCGTCTTCAGGAAAAGCGGGGCTAGCTTCCAAGACAAACTGTTTATAAGGGTTTGAAATGGGCGTAGCCCAAGCGTCAGCAGCCAATGATAATGTGAGTGGTGGGCAGCCAACCCAACGGTGGTTGGTTTTCACCAATCAAAGGGCTGCCAGGTGAAAATGAGCATGTTAAAGAGAGATTCGCACGTTAATGGGAGATCGCAGAGCCACAACCAAGAGATCGGCGTGCGAAGTGACTGTGTGAGTGTGAGCCGAGTGAAACGGCAAGTTTGAAATGGGCGTAAAGCAAAACTCACATCGCAAGATGGTAGGATGGGAACAGCACAGCCAGTTATGACTTAAACTGGTTGATAAGAGGACTGAATGCTGATATACCGGCCCTGGTGAGACACTGCCTCACTCATACTTACTTCACTTGGAATGGAACATTCTACAAGCAATTGAAGGTACCCCAATGGGTTCTCCCTTATCTCCAATTGTAGCCAATGTTTTCATGAAAAGATTTTGAGACAGATGCCATCCAGGCATCCACGCTACGTCCGTCCTTGTGGAAGAGGTACGTAGGTGACACGTTCATCATCTGGCCACATGGCCGACCAGCTCTGGACCAATTCCTCAACCACATCAATTCCATACACCCAGCCATCACATTCACCATGGATGTGGAAAAAGATGGCAAGTTACTATTCTTGGATGTTTTAATCGAAAAGAGACCAGATGGATCATTGGGACACTGTCTACAGGAAAGCCTCCCATATGGATGCCGACCTAAAACCTGACTCCCACCACCATCCATCCCAGAAGAATTCCCTTATCAAAACTCGACACCATAGAGCCCAATGAATCTCCGACCATCATCACCTAGCCAGTGAACTGGAACACGTGCACCAAGCTCTCAAGACGAATGGATATTCAGACTACACAATCCATAAAGCTATCATCCCAACTGTTGGGAAAGAACCATCTGAGGACCCTATCAAAACCATCACCTTTCCATACATAGCAGGGGTCACAAAAAATATTTCCAAAATCATGAGCAAACACAAGATCCAGGTTCGATTTAACACAGTACATAAAATCAGTGATCTGATCCCATCTGCGAAGGATGTGATCCCTGACATGCAATACCCCGGCGTCTACAAACCAAGCTGTATCTGCGGCAGTAGTTACATTGGGGAAACTAAGCGATATGTCACGGACCGTGTTCGTGAACACAAGGCAGATCTGAAACACGGTAGGACCAATACCCCGGCCGTGGCTGATCATAGTTTTAATGCGGTGGGCTCACACGAAATTGATTTCTCCAAGACGAAGGTACTCTGCAAACCCACCGGCTATCAACAAAGATTCGTTCATGAACCCATTCGCATATATATAGACACAGACACAATTTCAACCGAGAAGATAGGTACAAACTGAGCAATCATTGGAAGGACGTCGTAAAACCAGTTTAAGTCATAACTGGCTGTGCTGTTCCCATCCTAACACATTGCGATGTGAGTTTTGCTTTACGCCCATTTCAAACTTGCCATTTCACTCGGTTCACACTCACACAGTCACTTCGCACGCCGGTCCCTTGGTTGTGGCTCTGCGATCTCCCATTAGCGTGCGAATCTCTCTTTAACATGCATCATTTTCACCTGGCAGCCCTTTGATTGGTGAAAACCAACCACCGTTGGGTTGGCTGCCCACCACTCACATTATCATTGGCTGCTGACGCTTGGGCTACGCCCATTTCAAACCCTTATAAACAGTTTGTCTTGGAAGCTAGCCCCGCTTTTCCTGAAGACGACCGCTTGTGTTGCAATCGAAAGTCGTAGTTTTTTGTTATTTTCTTTGTAGCTATCGACGTGGTGACTTTACCGAAAGACCCAAGCATATGAATTCCTGCAGTCACGAAAGCTTCAAGTCGAGATTTAACAGAATAGCGGTTAACGCGCTTGGGCTGTAAACCCGGTGGCCTGAGTTGGATTCCCACTCACGGCCAACACCACTGACAATTATCTGAAGTGGCCCTGGGCCTGCCCTAGGCCGACTCGGCCCCAATAGAGTTCCTGCCGGTGGTGTGTAGTAAACATCACCAGTGTGGAGACAAAGGTGTCCTGGCGTGGTGCTGGCCAGCCACCCCCTCGTGTACCGTGCCGGCCTTCATAGGTGCTGCTCGCTCAAAGCACTTGCCCCAACAATCTGTTACAGGCTACATGGGAAACATTTGTCTTTGTACTGCTGTGCACTCATGTATCTGTGCACTCACGCACGCACACTGTTATGTGTGCGTGTTTACTTGCGGGCTCGTTCGTGTGTACTCACGTGTGTACTCGTAGTCTCACGTGTGTACTCTCTCGGGTGTGTACTCGCGTATGTACTCACGTGTGTACTCTCGTGTGTACTCTCTCGTGTGTACTCTCACGTGTGTACTCACGTGTGTACACTCACGTGTGTACACACGTGAGAGTACATACGCGAGTACACACACGAGAGAGTACACACGTGTGTACTCACGTGTGTACACACGTGTGTACTCACGTGTGTACTCACGTGTGTACTCTCTCGTGTGTACTCACGTGTGTACTCGTAGTCTCACGTGTGTACTCTCTCGTGTGTGTACTCGCGTGTGTACTCACGTGTGTACTCACGTGTGTACTCACGTGTGTGTACTCTCTCTCACGTGTGTACTCTCTCGCGTACTCCCTCTTGTGTACCTTGCTCTGTGCGTCCCTCTCCCCGTGGCTCCTCCACGCTACCACAATGCACTGCGAGCACGGGGCCCGCGCTCTCCGCTCGCCCCGGTGCATGCTGGGAAGGCTGGGCCGCCCCCGCCGCGGCCTCACGAGGGGGGTCCCCGTCGCTGCGGTAACCGTTGAGGCCGCCCCCGTGGGGCCCCTCGCGGAGCTCCGTGCGAGCCGCCTCTTCGCGGAGCTCCGCGCGAGAAGCCTCATCGTGGAGCCTCGCGTGAGCCCCCGCGCGGAGCTCCGCATCCCACCAGCCGTGGGAGCGAGCCCCCTCGCGGAGGTCGCTGGAGGAGCTGCAGAGTCGGCGGTCTCCGTGGTGGAGACCCTCCCCGCGGGGGAACTCGGGGCAGCGCGCCCAGTCGCGGAGCTCCGCATGGGGGCCCTCGCGGTAGGCGGCCACCTGGCGGAGGTCGCTGCAGGAGCCGTAGTGGCGGTGGGCCCCGTGGCGGAGGTGGTTGCGGAGGCCCGGGCGGTAGAGGGGCCCCTGGCGGAGGTGCGGGTCCCATTTGAGCGGGTGGAAAAGGTGGTGGTGGTGGTGTAGCCCGTGGTGGAGCTCACCCTCCAGACCGAATCCCTGCAGCTCCACCGTGAGGCCAAACGGCAGCAGGGGAGAGAGTCCTCCTGGTCGCGTAACACACAAAGACACTCACTCACTCACCCACTCACACTGACTCACACACTCACTCACCCACTCACTCACTCACACACTCACTCACACACTCACACACTCACTCACACACTCAAACTCACCCACTCACTCACACTGACTCACTCACACTGACTCACTCAACCACTCACAATGACTCACACACTCACTCACCCACTCACTCACTCACTCACCCACTCACTCACTCAAACTCACTCACCCACTCACCCACTCACTCACTCACACTGATTCACACACTCACACACTCAAACTCACTCACCCACTCATTCACACACTCACACACTCACTCACTCACACTGACTCACACTCAAACTCACTCACCCACTCATTCACACACTCACACACTCACACTGACTCACACACTCACTCACTCACCCACTCACTCACACTGACTCACACACTCACTCACTCACACTGACTCACACACTCAAACTCACCCACTCACTCACTCACACACTCACACTGACTCACACACTCACTCACACTGACTCACACACTCACACTGACTCACACTGACTCACACACTCACACACTCAAACTCACTCATTCACTCATTCACACACTAACCCACTCACACTGACTCACACACTCACACAATCAAACTCACTCATCCACTCATTCACACACTAACCCACTCACACTGACTCACACACTCACACAATCAAACTCACTCACCCACTCATTCACACACTCACTCACTCACACTGACTCACACACTCACACACTCAAACTCACTCATCCACTCATTCACACACTAACCCACTCACACTGACTCACACACTCAAACTCACTCACCCACTCATTCACACACTCACCCACTCACACTGACTCACACACTCAAACTCACTCACCCACTCATTCACTCATTCACTCACTCACCCACTCACACTGACTCACACAATCAAACTCACTCACCCACTCATTCACACACTCACCCACTCACACTGACTCACACACTCACACACTCAAACTCACTCACCCACTCATTCACACACTCACCCACTCACACTGACTCACACACACACACACACTCAAACTCACTCACCCACTCATTCACACACTAACCCACTCACACTGACTCACACACCCACACTCACTCACCCACTCATTCACACACTCACCCACTCACACTGACTCACACACTCACACAATAAAACTCACTCATCCACTCATTCACACACTAACGCACTCACACTGACTCACACACTCACACAATCAAACTCACTCACCCACTCATTCACACACTCACCCACTCACACACTCACACACTCAAACTCACTCACCCACTCATTCACACACTAACCCACTCACACTGAATCACACACTCAAACTCACTCACCCACTCATTCACACACTAACCCATTCACACTGACTCACACACTCACACAATCAAACTCACTCACCCACTCATTCACACACTCACTCACTCACACTGACTCACACACTCACACACTCAAACTCACTCATCCACTCATTCACACACTAACCCACTCACACTGACTCACACACTCACACAATCAAACTCACTCACCCACTCATTCACACACTCACCCACTCACACTGACTCACACACTCAAACTCACTCACCCACTCATTCACTCATTCACTCACTCACCCACTCACACTGACTCACACAATCAAACTCACTCACCCACTCATTCACACACTCACCCACTCACACTGACTCACACACTCACACACTCAAACTCACTCACCCACTCATTCACACACTCACCCACTCACACTGACTCACACACACACACACTCAAACTCACTCACCCACTCATTCACACACTAACCCACTCACACTGACTCACACACCCACACTCACTCACCCACTCATTCACACACTCACCCACTCACACTGACTCACACACTCACACAAGCAAACTCACTCATCCACTCATTCACACACTAACGCACTCACACTGACTCACACACTCACACAATCAAACTCACTCACCCACTCATTCACACACTCACACACTCACACACTCAAACTCACTCACCCACTCATTCACACACTAACCCACTCACACTGAATCACACACTCAAACTCACTCACCCACTCATTCACACACTAACCCACTCACACTGACTCACACACTCACACACTCAAACTCACTCACCCACTCATTCACACACTAACCCACTCACACTGACTCACCCACTCACTCACTCACTCAAACTCACTCACCCACTCATTCACACACTCACCCACTCACACTGACTCACACACTCAAACTCACTCACACACTCAAACTCACTCACCCACTCATTCACTCATTCACTCACTAACCCACTCACACTGAATCACACACTCAAACTCACTCACCCACGCATTCACTCACTCACCCACTCACACTGACTCACACACTCAAACTCACTCACCCACTCATTCACACACTCACCCACTCACACTGACTCACACACGAAAACTCACTCACCCACTCATTCACACACTCACCCACTCACACTGACTCACACACTCACACACTCAAACTCACTCACCCACTAATTCACACACTAACCCACTCACACTGAATCAGACACTCAAACTCACTCACCCACTCATTCACACACTAACCCACTCACACTGACTCAAACACTCACACACTCAAACTCACTCACCCACTCATTCACTCATTCACTCACTCACCCACTCACACTGACTCACACACTCAAACTCACTCACCCACTCATTCACACACTCACCCACTCACACTGACTCACACACTCACACACTCAAACTCACTCACCCACTCATTCACACACTAACCCACTCACACTGACTTAAACACTCACACACTCAAACTCACTCACCCACTCATTCACTCATTCACTCACTCACCCACTCACAATGACTCACATACTCAAACTCAGTCACCCACTCATTCACACACTAACCCACTCACAACCGCCATTCGCCACAAAGTGGTGGTGATGTCACCACAGCGCTTGTGCCAGGCTATGTGCACTTTAAGGCCATGTGAAATATCGAACGTCCACTGGTAGGAGGCCACGGGACAGACCCAGGTACCATGGGTTGACTGATTGAGATGACAGGCCAATGCACCACCTGTGCCCCCTACGGGGCCAACTTCCTGTGCTTCAGCCACCTAGTGCTCGTTTTGTGAGTGTCACTCTTCTGCCCTCCATTGTTGCTGAAGGAAGATTGCCTCCATCTACCCAGCAGCGTCCTTCACGAGCCTCTTCCACAATGCTGGTACCAGTCATCGGCAAGTTCACTCAGCTCCACATCCGTTTGTACCAAATCACTCCATCTCTTCTCTAGCCCATGCTGCACCTGTTTAGCCCCCTTTATCCGGTCGAACAAAAGCTGTTTAGGCATGCACTGGCTGGGCCTGCCGTAGGAGCTTACCGATTGGACATTGTCCAGTTCTTTAAAGGATTTGTGAGCTCCTCACACAATCCAGCCTGGTTAAACCCAGGATGAATCGTAGACAGGTCAGCCTAAATGTTTTTAACCAGTGAAGATGTTCCATTAGGGGGGGGTCCATGTTTCGCAAGCACAGAGAAGGGAGGGGATGCCCATGGCCAAGAAAACCTGAAGCTTCATATGGAGCGACAGACCAGGTAGCTTCCACAGAGCCGATGAAAAGATATTGCTGCTCGGCTGATTCGGAGTGAGACCTCTGCTACAAACCGGAACCGGTTATGAGCACACTGCCCAGGTATGGAAAACTCTCTTTCGACAACTGCTCCATCACCATGTGGGAGTTGTGGGGATAGATGTTTGATGGCACAAAATACCCAGGCACCCACTAACTCACGCACACACACTCACCCACACACTCACGCACTCACACTGACTCACCAACTCACTCACTCACGCACTCACACTGACTCACACATTCACTAACTCACACACACAAACGCACTCTCTCACCCACTCACACACTGACTCACCCACTCACACTCTCACCCACTCACACACTCACGCACTCACACTGACTCACCCACTCACTCACACACTCACTCAGACACTGACTCACCCACTCACACACTCACACTCACACACTCACCCACTGACTCACCCACTCACACACTCAAACTCACTTCCACAGACTCACCCACTCACACACTCACTCACTCACACACTCACATTGATTCACCCACTCACTCACACACTGACTCACCCACTCACACACTCACTAACTCACACACTCACTCACACTGACTTACCCACTCACACACTGACTCACCCACTCACACAGACTCACCCACTCACCCACTCACACACACACTCACTCACACTCACACACTCACTAACTCACACACTCACTCACACACTCAAACTCACTTACACACTCAACTCACTTACACACTCACCCACTCACACTGACTCATGCACTCACACACTGACTCACCCACTCACCCACTCACACTGACTCACCCACTCACTCACACACTGACTCACCCACTCACACACTCACTAACTCACACACTCACACACTCACTCACACACTCAAACTCACTTACACACTCAAACTCACTTACACACTCACCCACTCACACTGACTCACCCACTCACACACTGACTCACCCACTCACCCACTCACACAGACTCACCCACTCACCCACTCACACACACACACTCACTCACAAACTCACACACTCACTCACACACTGACTCACCCACACACACACTGACTCACCCACTGACTCACACACACTCACTCACTCACACACTCACACACTGACTCACATACTCACACTGACTCACTCACTCACACACTGACTCACCCACTCACTCACACACACACTCACTCACACACTCACTCACCCACTGACTCACACACACACTGACACACACACTCACACACTCACACACACTCACACACTGACTCACTCACTGACTCACCCACTGACTCACACACTCACTCACTCACACACTCACACTGACTCACCCACTCACACACACTCACACACTGACTCACACACACACACTGACACACACACTCACACACACTCACCCACTCACACACTGACTCACACACACACTGACACACACACTCACACACTCACACAATGACTCACACACTCACACACTGACTCACCCACTGACTCACACACTCACACTGACTCACCCACTCACAAACTCAAACTCACAAGGGCTGTTAGCGAAGGCCGCCACAGGGCACCACAATTGAGCCAAGAATAATTATCTCAGGGGGCAACTGGGCCGTCAGATCAAAGCAAATTCTAGACAATGAAATAGTTACAAAACAAACTTAATAATAATAATAATAACAATGATAGCAATAATAGCAAGTAAAATTCACGCCTAAAACTTCGGTGAATTTAAAAATGGAGGACAGAGATGGCAGAATAGTGATAACTACTATTGGAACTAAAACTAATTTTAATTTACCAGGCAATGCCCCACTGAGCTATTAAGCTCTTTTTTAGAAGCCACCTGGCATCACAAATGATAGCTCAATAAAGTGGTGGCCCATCTAAATGTGGAGGGCAAATACTGGAGGGCACCAGAGAGAAATCCACGTGACCACCACGGTGAGATAGATAAACAGACGCAAACTCCCAGTATGGTGGGGCCAGGAGATGTTCTCTCCCTCGCCTGGAGTGTAGGAGGCAATGGGGGGCGGGTAGATCCTGGACCCTGACAATGCCTGCTGCTGCTGTATATTTGGAGTCTGCGTGTCTCTCTCACCATGGTGGTCACTGCGTGTGATGATGATAACCCGCCACTTCGTTGAGCTATCATTTGTGATGTCCAGGTCGCTTTGGAAAAAAACAGCTACTGTACATAGCATTGATAGGCGGTGGTTTGGGCTGCTGCAGTTCTTTATGATTACAATTTCCCTCCATTCATTGCTGCTAATCCTACATAATACACCGCCTACACATTCTACAAGGAGTGACTAACCCCACATCTGCATTTGTCATCAATATGCTAAATCCCTCTGTTGATATGTAAACTCCTTTGTCAAGGCGCTCTGCTCATCCCACCCAGCTTACAAGACGCTGCCAAGCTTAGCGGTGTTCATTAGGACGCCGTCCTCCCGACAGCTCCGTTCCTTCACCTGAGGACGACGGCTTATTGCATTGTCGCCGAAACGTCGTGAGAATTTTATTATCTTTTATTTTTTATTATTTCCCTTCTACGTGGTGACTTTACCGAAGGAACCAAGAATATGAATCCCTGCAAGTCACGAACGCTTTAAATCGAAAGCTACATAGCTCATCGCCGTCAGAGTGAAACAACGGAATGTCTGCAGCTTGAATAGCACAATGCATGCCCGGCCTCCTTGGTCTCCCCAGTGCTGATGTTTAACAACACCATACCAGGTCTCTGAATGAAGGTCGAGTCGACCTAGGGGAGGGCTAAGACCGCTTCAAATGTTAACCTACGTGCTGGGAAATACTCTCATCCGTTTGGCCGGGTGTCACGCTCTCACCTGATTGGCCGCTTGTGTAACGCTCTCACCTGATTGGCTGGGTGTAACGCCCTCACGTGATTGGCTGCACGTGTAACGCTCTCACTTGATTGGCCGCGTGTGACACTCTCACCTGATTGGCTGCGTGTAACGCCCTCGCGCGATTGGCCGCATGTGTAACGCTCTCACTTGATTGGCCGCGTGTGACACTCTCACCTGATTGGCTGCGTGTAACGCCCTCGCGTGATTGGCCGCATGTGTAACGCTCTCACTTGATTGGCCGCGTGTGACACTCTCACCTGATTGGCTGCGTGTGCGTGACTTCAGGACCACAGGGATGAAATCCTGGAAGCCGTTCTTGTGACGCTTGTGAGCTGACAAACGCACACACAGACACACGCACACATACAGACACACGCACACAGACACACGCACACATACACACACGCAGACACACGCACACATACACACGCACGCAGACACACGCACACATACACACACGCACACGCAGACACACGTACACATACAGACACACGCACACATACGCACACATACACACGCGCACAGACACACGCGCACAGACACACCCACACAGACACACGCACACATCCACACGCACACATACACACGCACACATACACACGCCCACAGACACACGCACACAGACACACGCACACAGACACACGCACACAGACACGCACACATACACACGCACACAGACACACGCACACATACACACGCACACACGCACACAGACACACAGACACAGTGAGTAAATGGGTGAGTGAGTGACTCACTTGATGAGTGAGTGGGTGGGTGAGTGGGTGAGTGAGTGAGTGGGTGAGTGAGTGACTCACTTGGTGAGTGAGTGGGTGGGTGAGTGGGTGAGTGAGTGGGTGAGTGACTCACTTTGTGAGTGAGTGGGTGAATGGGTAAGTGAGTGACTGACTTGGTGAGTGAGTGAGTGGGTGAGTGAGTGGGTGAGTGACTCACTTGGTGAGTGAGTGAGTGGGTGAGTGAGTGGGTGAGTGAGTGGGTGAGTGAGTGAGTGGGTGGGTGAGTGAGTGGGTGAGTGGGTGGGTGAGTGAGTGAGTGAGTGGGTGAGTGGGTGAGTGAGTGAGTGGGTGGGTGAGTGAGTGGGTGAGTGAGTGAGCGAGTGAGTGAGTGGGTGGGTGAGTGAGTGGGTGAGTGAGTGGGTGAGTGAGTGGGTGAGTGAGTGGGTGAGTGAGTGAGTGAGTGGGTGAGTGAGTGAGTGAGTGGGTGAGTGGGTGAGTGGGTGAGTGAGTGAGTGACTCACTTGGTGAATCCCCCTCATCCGGGCTGACCCCTCCCCCGATGGCCTCCCAGATCCCCCGCTTGCCCCCTCGCCCCTCCCCCCCCTCCCCCCCCGTGGTGAACTTCGAACTCAGAGGCCCCCACAGCGCCGCCGCCGCCATCCCCCCGGCCCCCACCGCCCCTCCCACGCTCCCGCATCTCCAGCTCAGAGAATCTCAGCATGGCCCTCTGCAGGGGTAAGGAGGAGACAGGGTGAGGAGACAGGGTGAGTGAATGGTGAGGAGACAGGGTGAGGAGACAGGGTGAGGAGACAGGGTGAGGAGACAGGGTGAGTGAATGGGGAGGTGACAGGGTGAGGAGACAGGGTGAGGAGACAGGGTGAGGAGACAGGGTGAGGAGACAGGGTGAGTGAATGGTGAGGAGACAGGGTGAGGAGACAGGGTGAGGAGACAGGGTGAGGAGACAGGGTGAGTGAATGGTGAGGAGACAGGGTGAGGAGACAGGGTGAGGAGACAGGGTGAGGAGACAGGGTGAGTGAATGGTGAGGAGACAGGGTGAGGAGACAGGGTGAGGAGACAGGGTGAGGAGACAGGGTGAGGAGACAGGGTGAGTGAATGGTGAGGAGACAGGGTGAGGAGACAGGGTGAGGAGACAGGGTGAGGAGACAGGGTGAGTGAATGGTGAGGAGACAGGGTGAGGAGACAGGGTGAGGAGACAGGGTGAGGAGACAGGGTGAGGAGACAGGGTGAGTGAATGGAGAGGAGACAGGGAGAGGAGACAGGGTGAGTGAATGGTGAGGGGACAGGGTGAGTGAATGGTGAGGAGACAGGGTGAGGAGACAGGGTGAGGAGACAGGGTGAGGAGACAGGGAGAGGAGACAAGGTGAGTGAATGGTGAGGAGACAGGGTGAGGAGACAGGGTGAGGAGACAGGGTGAGTGAATGGTGAGGAGACAGGGTGAGGAGACAGGGTGAGGAGACAGGGTGAGGAGACAGGGTGAGTGAATGGTGAGGAGACAGGGTGAAGAGACAGGGTGAGGAGACAGGGTGAGGAGACAGGGAGAGGAGACAAGGTGAGTGAATGGTGAGGAGACAGGGTGAGTGAATGGTGAGGAGACAGGGTGAGGAGACAGGGTGAGGAGACAGGGTGAGTGAATGGTGAGGAGACAGGGTGAGGAGACAGGGTGAGTGAATGGTGAGGAGACAGGGTGAGGGGACAGGGTGAGGAGACAGGGTGAGTGAATGGTGAGGAGACAGGGTGAGGAGACAGGGTGAGGAGACAGGGTGAGGAGACAGGGTGAGTGAATGGTGAGGAGACAGGGTGAGGAGACAGGGTGAGGAGACAGGGTGAGGAGACAGGGTGAGTGAATGGTGAGGAGACAGGGTGAGGGGACAGGGTGAGTGAATGGTGAGGAGACAGGGTGAGTGAATGGTGAGGAGACAGGGAGAGGAGACAGGGTGAGTGAATGGTGAGGAGACAGGGTGAGGAGACAAGGTGAGTGAATGGTGAGGAGACAAGGTGAGTGAATGGTGAGGAGACAAGGTGAGTGAATGGTGAGGAGACAGGGTGAGGGGACAGGGTGAGGAGACAGGGTGAGGAGACAGGGTGAGGAGACAGGGAGAGGAGACAGGGTGAGTGAATGGTGAGGAGACAGGGTGAGTGAATGGTGAGGAGACAGGGTGAGGAGACAGGGTGAGGAGACAGGGTGAGTGAATGGTGAGGAGACAGGGTGAGGAGACAGGGTGAGTGAATGGTGAGGAGACAGGGTGAGGGGACAGGGTGAGGAGACAGGGTGAGTGAATGGTGAGGAGACAGGGTGAGGAGACAGGGTGAGGAGACAGGGTGAGGAGACAGGGTGATGAGACAGGGTGAGTGAATGGTGAGGAGACAGGGTGAGGAGACAGGGTGAGGAGACAGGGTGAGGAGACAGGGTGAGTGAATGGTGAGGAGACAGGGTGAGGAGACAGGGTGAGGAGACAGGGTGAGGAGACAGGGAGAAGAGACAAGGTGAGTGAATGGTGAGGAGACAGGGTGAGTGAATGGTGAGGAGACAGGGTGAGGAGACAGGGTGAGGAGACAGGGTGAGTGAATGGTGAGGAGACAGGGTGAGGGGACAGGGTGAGGGGACAGGGTGAGGAGACAGGGTGAGTGAATGGTGAGGAGACAGGGTGAGTGAATGGTGAGGAGACAGGGAGAGGAGACAGGGTGAGTGAATGGTGAGGAGACAGGGTGAGGAGACAAGGTGAGTGAATGGTGAGGAGACAAGGTGAGTGAATGGTGAGGAGACAAGGTGAGTGAATGGTGAGGAGACAGGGTGAGGGGACAGGGTGAGGAGACAGGGTGAGGAGACAGGGTGAGTGAATGGTGAGGGGACAGGGTGAGGAGACAGGGTGAGTGAATGGTGAGGAGACAGGGTGAGGAGACAAGGTGAGTGAATGGTGAGGAGACAAGGTGAGTGAATGGTGAGGAGACAGGGTGAGGGGACAGGGTGAGGAGACAGGGTGAGGAGACAGGGTGAGGAGACAGGGAGAGGAGACAGGGTGAGGAGACAGGGTGAGTGAATGGTGAGGAGACAGGGTGAGGAGACAGGGTGAGGAGACAGGGTGAGTGAATGGTGAGGGGACAGGGTGAGAAGTTAGCATGACTGAATTTTTTGAAATCATTAATGCAACATCACCACCACCACCACCACAACCACGTCACTAGAACACCAACATAACCACATCTCCACAACAATGTCACTACAACACTACCACGACAAATACATCACCACAACCACCACATCACCACATCACCACAATACCACCACAACATCACTACAATACCACCACAACCACCACCCCCTCATCACCACCACCTCATCATCACCACCACCACCCCCTCATCACCACCATCACCACCACCACCATCACCACCTCATCACCACCATCACCACCACCACCATCACCACCTCATCACCACCATCACCATCACCACCTCATCACCACCATCACCACCACCATTTCTGTCATCTTGGGCTGAGTTATTTCTCCTCCCCCACCCCTCCCTTCTGCTCATCTTAATCGGTGCCCCCCTCTCTCATCATTACATCACCAGAACATCACCAGAACATCACCCTCCATCACCCTCCCCACCGTCCCCACCCTCCATCACCCTCCCCACCCTCCATCACCCTCCATCACCCTCCATCACCCTCCACCCCTCCATCACCCTCCCCACCCTCCATCACCCTCCACCCCTCCATCACCCTCCCCACCCTCCATCACCCTCCATCACCTCCATCACCCTCCCCACCCTCCATCACCCTCCATCACCTCCATCACCCTCCCCACCCTCCATCACCCTCCATCACCCTCCATCACCCTCCATCACCCTCCCCACCCTCCATCACCCTCCATCACTCTCCATCACCCTCCATCACCCTCCATCACCCTCCATCACCCTCCACCCCTCCATCACCCTCCATCGCCCTCCATCGCTCTCCATCGCCCTCCATCGCTCTCCATCACCCTCCATCACCCTCCATCACCCTCCCCACCCTCCATCACTCTCCCCACCCTCCATCACCCTCCATCACCCTCCATGACCCTCCATCACCCTCCATCACCCCCTCCACCCCTCCATCACCCTCCATCGCCCTCCATTGCCCTCCATCACTCTCCATCACCCTCCATCACCCTCCCCACCCTCCATCACCCTCCATCACCTCCATCACCCTCCCCACCCTCCATCACCCTCCATCACTCTCCATCACTCTCCCCACCCCTCCATCACCCTCCATCACCCTCCATCACCCTCCCCACCCTCCATCACTCTCCCCACCCTCCATCACTCTCCATCACTCTCCATCACCCTCCATCACCCTCCATCACCCTCCATCACCCCCTCCACCCCTCCATCACCCTCCCCACCCTCCATCACCCTCCATCACTCTCCATCACCCTCCCCACCCTCCATCACCCTCCATCACTCTCCCCACCCTCCATCACCCTCCATCACCCTCCATCACCCTCCATCACCCTCCACCCCTCCATCACCCTCCATCGCCCTCCATCGCTCTCCATCGCTCTCCATCACCCTCCATCACCCTCCATCACCCTCCCCACCCTCCATCACCCTCCATCACCCTCCATCACTCTCCATCACCCTCCATCACCCTCCATCACCCTCCATCACCCTCCACCCCTCCATCACCCTCCATCGCCCTCCATCGCTCTCCATCGCTCTCCATCACCCTCCATCACCCTCCATCACTCTCCCCACCCTCCATCACCCTCCATCACCCTCCATCACCCTCCATCACCCTCCATCACCCTCCACCCCTCCATCACCCTCCATCACCCTCCATCGCCCTCCATTGCCCTCCATCACTCTCCATCACCCTCCATCACCCTCCCCACCCTCCATCACCCTCCATCACCCTCCATCACCCTCCATCACCCTCCATCACTCTCCCTATGTCTCTCTCCCCTCCCCACGCGGTGGAGCGGCCTACACCCCCAACCCCGGTGTGGTGCCTCTCAGCCTTGCCCACACCACCATCTCCACGGAACTGAACTGCCTCACCCCGGTATCGGCAGGAGCCGGGATTGGGCGCAGGGTGACACCGCGGTGGTAGCCGCCGGTGCTGCCGCTGCTGCCGCTGCTGCCGCTGCTGCCGCTGCTGCTGCTGCAGTCCGGCTGCTGCTGCTGCAGCTGCTGCTGCTGCTGCTCACGGAGCACAAGGCCCCGTCTCCAGTCAGCTGCAATGATAGCGGACTGCCAGAGAGGCGGCACAGACACAGCCGCACCGCTCAACTCCCCACCCACAGACGCCAGCACCCACCCAGCCACCTGCACTCGCACCTACCCACCTACCCACCTGCACATCCACCCACATGTACACCCACCCGGAGACCCACCTACACACCCACCTGTTCACCTGTACACCCTCACCCCGCACACCCACCTACCGGCACACCCCACACCCACCCATTTACCTGCACCCCTGCACATACCTATCCACCCGCACAACCGCCTACCCACCGGCACACCCAAACCCATCCACCTACCCACCTGCATATCCACCTGCACACCCACACATCCACCTGCTACCCCATAGAGCCGCACACCCACACACCTACCACCTGCACATCCACCCACCCAAACACCCTCACGCCCACGCACCTACCCACCCACACACCCACCCAGCTACCTACCCACACACCCACCCACCTACCCACCCACACACCCACGCACCTACCCACCCACACACCCACGCACCTACCCACCCACACACCCACGCACCTACCCACCCACACACCCACGCACCTACCCACCCACACACCCACGCACCTACCCACCCACACACCCACCTACCCACCCACCCACACACCCACCCACACACCCACCTACCCACCCACACACCCACGCACCTACCCACCCACACAACCACCTACCCACCCACACACCCACCCACCTACCCACCCACCCACCCACCCACCCACACACCCACCCACCCACCCACCTACCCACCCACACACCCACATACCCATCCAACAATAACCGCCATTTGGCACTAAGTGGTGGTGATGTCAACATGGGGCTTGTGCCAGGCTATGTGCACTTTAAGGCCACGTGAAGTGTCGAACGTCCACTGGCAGGAGGTCACGGGACAGACCCAGGTACCATGGGTTGACTGATTGAGCTGATTGACCGATACACCACCTGTGCCAACTGTGTTTTAGCCGCTCGCCACTCTGCTCGTTGTGAGCATCGCTCCTCTGCCCCCTATTGTTGCTGAAGGGCGTCATTCACGAATATCCTCCACAAAGGGTGGATTCCGCTGGCACCAGTTATTGGCAAGTCCACTCAGCTCCACGTCCTCCTGTACCACATCATTCCATCTCTTCTCTAGCCCATGCCACGCCCATTTAACTCCTTCTATCCAGCCAAACAAAATCTGTTTAGGCATGCAGTGGCTGGGCATGCGTACAACATGACCCAGCCAACGCAGCCTTGCCTGCTGGAGGAGCTCACCGATGGGACTGTGTCCAGATCTTTTGAGGATTTGAGAGCTCGTCACACAAGGATGGATCATAGGCAGGACAGCCTGAATATTTCTAACTGGAAAAGATGTTCCATTAGGGGGGCAATGCAGGTAGCTTCCACGCAGCGGCGTTATGCAGCCGATGAAGAGAAAACGCCGCTCGACTGATTTGGAGTGAGACCTCTACTGTCAAATCAGAGCTGGTCTTAAGCACACTGCCCAGAGAAAGAAACGTCTCCACTCTCTCCACAACTGCCCCATCACACCAATGGGGAGGTGAGGGGATGGAGTGTTTGATGACACGAAATACCCAGGCAGGTGCTTAGTTTAGAATGGGCTTATGGGTAAGGCACCACCTCTTAGTAGCATGCTCCAGGTTTAGCAGCAGCACCTCCAACTCCTCCTCAGAATAAGCAGCAATCACAAGATCATCGGCATACGTAACATTGTTGGCCAATCGGGAGCCCTCCCTAGACGGCACCCGGGCATCGATCAGCCTCCCATTGTATCTGTACCAGATGGAAATTCCTCCGGTTCAGCCATGAAAAACTTCTCGAACTACGCGGTTGCAAAAAAATAATGTAGGTGCCAGAGAACATCTCTGTCGTACCCCAAGGTGAACAGGGAAAGCCTCTGACTCCCGGCCATGTACAGTGAGGGAAAAAAGTATTTGATCCCCTGCTGATTTTGTACGTTTGCCCACTGACAAAGAAATGATCAGTCTATAATTTTAATGGTAGGTTTATTTGAACAGTGAGAGACAGAATAACAACAACAAAACCCGGGAAAACGCATGTCAATAATGTTGTAAATTGATTTGCATTTTAATGAGGGAAATAAGCATTTGACCCCCTCTCAATCAGAAAGATTTCTGGCTCCCAAGTGTCTTTTATACAGGTAATTAGCTGAGATTAGGAGCACACTCAAAGGGAGTGCTCCTAATCTCAGCTTGTTACCTGTATAAAAGACACCTGTCCACAGAAGCAATCAATCAATCAGATTCCAAACTCTCCACCATGGCCAAGACCAAAGAGCTCTCCAAGGATGTCAGGGACAAGATTGTAGATCTACGCAAGGCTGGAATGGGCTACAAGACCATTGCCAAGCAGCTTGGTGAGAAGGTGACAACAGTTGGTGCGATTATTCGCAAATGGAAGAAACACAAAAGAACTGTCAATCTCCCTCGACCTGGGGCTCCATGCAAGATCTCACCTCGTGGAGTTGCAATGATCATGAGAACGGTGAGGAATCAGCCCAGAACTACACGGGAGGATCTTGTCAATGATCTCAATGCAGCTGGGACCATAGTCACCAAGAAGACATTTGGTAACACACTACGCCGTGAAGGACTGAAATCCTGCAGCGCCCGCAAGGTCCCCCTGCTCAAGAAAGCACATATACATGCCCGTCTGAAGTTTGCCAATGAACATCTGAATGATTCAGAGGACAACTGGGTGAAAGTGTTGTGGTCAGATGAGACCAACATGGAGCTCTTTGGCATCAACTAAACTCGCCGTGTTTGGAGGTGGAGGAGGAATGCTGCCTATGAGCCCAAGAACACCATCCTCACCGTCAAACATGGAGGTGGAAACATTATGCTTTGGGGGTGTTTTTCTGATAAGGGGACAGGACAACTTCACCGCATCAAAGGGACGATGGATGGGGCCATGTACCGTCAAATATTGGGTGAGAACCCCCTTCCCTCAGCCAGGGCATTGAAAATGGGTCGTGGATGGGTATTCCAGCATGACAATGACCCAAAACACACAGCCAAAGCAACAAAGGAGTGGCTCAAGAAGAAGCACATTAAGGTCCTGGAGTGGCCTAGCCAGTCTCCAGACCTTAATCCCATAGAAAATCTGTGGAGGGAGCTGAAGGTTCGAGTTGCCAAACGTCAGCCTCGAAACCTTAATGACTTGGAGAAGATCTGCAAAGAGGAGTAGGACAAAATCCCTCCTGAGATGTGTGCAAACCTGGTGGCCAACTACAAGAAACGTCTGAACTCTGTGATTGCCAACACGGGTTTTGCCACCAAGTACTAAGTCATGTTTTGCAGAGGGGTCAAATACTTATTTCCCTCATTCAAATGCAAATCAATTTACAACATTTTTGACATGCATTTTTCCGGATATTTTTTGTTGTTATTCTGTCTCTCACTGTTCAAATAAACCTACCATTAAAAATCAGCAGGGGATCAAATACTTTTTCCCTCACTGTAGCTTTACCCGGGCCTGACCACCATCTTGAAGGTCCTTAATGATGGTGAGCAGAGAGTAAGGGACTCTGAAAGCACTTTGAACAACACAGAGCCCAGGCCTAGTGATGGAATCATAGGCCTTGACCAGGGCCAATATAGCAGAAATATTGGTCCTGTTGGAATTCCTTACACCTCTGCTGTAGCAGACGGACAAAAAAAATATGGCATCTGTGCAGGACCGCCCTAGCCTGAAACCACATTTTAATCACCACTAAACAGAGTTTTAAATTAAATTCAAGGTGGAAGAGTTACCAGCCCCTCCCACCCATTAATTGCCCCCATTGGCTGCTGTGGTGTCTACACACACCATGAGGGGAACAGCCACTTGAAATTGGTTTTACCCCCTAAGGCATTGCTCACCACAGGGTTACTGTCCGGCACCACGGAGGAAGCAGGAGGTTGATTTGCCGGACTACCCATCCACCCACCTACCCACCCACCTACCCATCCACCCACACACTGGCACACGTGTCCAACCGCCTATCCACCCGCACACCGACACACCTGCCCAACCAGCTACCCACTCACACACACGTCTAACCACCTCCCCACCCACCTACACACCCAACCACCTACCCATCCACCCACACACTGGCACACGTGTCCAACTACCTACCCACCCACCTACCCATCCACCCACACACTGGCACACGTGTCCAACCAGCTACCCACTCACACACACGTCTAACCACCTCCCCACCCACCTACACACCCACCCACCTGCACAACAACAACCGCCATTCGCCACTAAGTGGCGGTGACGTCACCACGACGCTTATGCCAGGCTATGTGCACCCTGAGGCCACGTGAAGTGTCGAACGCCCGCTGGCAAGAGGTCACGGGGCAGACCCAGGTGCCACGGGTCGACTGACTGAGATGACTGGCTGGTGCACCACCTGTGCCCCCTACTGTGCCAACCTGCTGTGCTTTAGCCACCCGGCGCTCCGCTCGTTGTTGTGAGCGTCACTCCTCCGCCCTTCGTTGTTGTTGGAGGGCGACTGCCTCCAACTGCCCAATAGCGTCCTTCACGAGCCTCCTCCACAGAGGCCGATCTTGACACCGCTGGTACCTGTCATCGGCAAGTCCACTCAGCTCCACGTCCTCCTGTACCACATCACTCCATCTCTTCTCTAGCCCGTGCCGCGCCCGTTTAGCCCCCTCGATCCGGCCGAACAAAAGCTGTTTCGGCATGCGGTGGCTGGGCATGCGGGCTACATGACCCAGCCAACACAGCCTTGCCTGCCGGAAGAGCTCACCGATGGGACCTTGCCCAGATCTTTAAAGAATTTGTGAGCTCCTCACACAATCCAGCCTGGTTAAACCCAGAATGGATCGTAGACAGGCTAGCCTAAATGTTTCTAACCGGCGAAGATGTTCCATTAGGGGGGTCCACGTTTCGCAAGCGTAGAGAAGGGAGGGAATGACCGTGGCCGAGAAGACCTGAAGCTTAGTGCGGAGCGACAGACCAGGTAGCTTCCACACAGCGTTACGCAACCGATGAAAAGATATTGCCGCTCGACTGATTCGGAGTGAGACCTCTGCTGTTAAACTGGAGCCGGTCATAAGCACACTGCCCAGGTATGGGAAACTCTCCACTCTCTCCACAACTGCCCCATCACCGATTGGGAGTTGTGGGGGTGGAGTGTCCGATGGTACAAAATACCCAGGGAGGTGCTTAGTTTTCGTGGGGCTGATGGTAAGGCCCCATCTCTTAGTGGCACACTCCAGTCCCAGCAGCAGCGTCTCCAACTCCTCCTCTGAATGAGCAGCTATTACCAAATCATTGGCATACATAACGTGGTTGAGCAATAGGGAGCCATCCCTTGACCGCACCCGGGCATCGATCAGCCTCCCATTATATCTGTACCATATGGAGATTCCCCCGGTACAGCTATTGAAGGCTTCACGAACTACGTGGTCAAAATAGATGTTAAATAATGTGGGAGCCAGAGGACATCCCTGTCGCACCCCAAGGTGTACAGGGAATGGCTCTGACTCCCGGCCACGTAGTTTTACCCGGGCCCGCTCACCATCATGAAGGTCCTTAATGATTGTGAGCAGAGGGTCAGCGACTCCAAAAGCACGAAGAACAACCCAGAGCCCAGGCCTACTGATGGTATCATAGGCCTTGATCAGGTCAATCAAGCAGAGATGTAGGTCTTGTTGGAATTCCCTACACCTCTGCTGTAGCAGACGGACAGAAAATATGGCATCTGTGCAGGACCGCCCTTTCCTGAAACCGCATTGGGGCTCCGCAAGCCTCTCCTGAGCGTGCCTGGCAAGGCGATGTTGAATAATCCTTGCCAGGACCTTTCCCGGCACACTGAGGTGTGAGATGCCCCTGTAGTTGTTACAGTCTGTGCGGTCCCCCTTCTTAAAGAGGGGGACCACCAAGGCATCCTTCCAATCCTGCGGAACCCGTCCAGTAGTCCAGACTGTTGTTATGATGTCATATAGGGCAGTCTGTGCACAAACGTCACCCTCCCTCAGCATTTCGCTTGGGAGATCGTCTCTACCCGGTGGCTTTCCTGGTCTCAGACTCCGGATCGCCTTCAGTACTTCCTCAACAGATGGCACCTCAGCCAGCCACTCACAGGGGGTGACTTCTTCCAATATTTGAGGCACCGCAGCCTCAGCAGGGTCATCCTCACTTTGTGCCACGATGTTTTCCTGACTTGGGGATTTCCCCTCCCCCAGGACCTCACAGAAATGCTCAGCAAATCTGCAAACCTGTTCCTGGGGGTCGGAGATTGGATCACCGTTTTTTTCCCCTAATAGGTGTGGCGCTGCAGGTTACTTTATTGATGGAGGTAAATAGAGATTTGTGATCACGGGCCACTGAGGCAGACTCCATCTCCTCAGCAACCCGCGACCACCACCCATCCTTGCAGCGCCTCACGGCTCTCCGAACCTCCGAGCGAAGGCTGTGGTAAGCCTCCTCATTCTCTGACGTGGGATTCTGTAGCCGATGACAGTGGGCCTGTCGCTTTTTCTCAACCATCCTGAACACCACCTCTGTCAGCCAGGGTCTCTGGAGAGGTCTGGACCGCATACCCAAAGCAGCCATTGCAGCTGCATGAGTCACAGTCCTAAACCTCGCCCATTTACCCTCGACATCAGGAGGAGTGGGGGACGATGCCAACCCCAGCCGCAAGCGATGATGAAATTCTCGCTTGCAACTTTCATCAGATAACTGAGACCAGGCCACTTTAGGTTGGAATGGGGTCCTGGGTGTACACCCACCACCGGAGTGGAAGAATGGCAGGCGCATCTTACAGATGACTAGTCGATGGTCAGAGGGCAGATCAGTTCCACGGTAGGTCCTGGTGTCAAGGACATGGGCTCGCATCTGCTGGTCCGTCACTATGTAGTCCAGCAGATGTTCTTGCTTGGACCCGGCATGCATCCATGATGTTGTGTGGATGCGCCGATACCGGAACAGCGTGTTGGTAATTACAAGCCCATGGGCTGCACAAAAATCTAGCAGCCTCCTACCATTGTTATTGAGCTGATCTGGCCCATGCCTTCCAATCACTCCAGACCAGGTGCCAGCATCATGACCAACTCCGGCATTGAAGTCACCCAACAAGATGACTCTATCCCGAGGGGCCACTTTCACCAGCACCTGTGACAGGAGGTCATAGAAGGCATCTGACTCATCGGTTTTGCCTGCATCCCTCCACGGATGTTCGTCTTCGGTAGGGGCATAAGTAACCACGACCACCACTCCTCGCCTCCGGTTGATGGGAAGGCGAGCCCAAAGTAGCCTGGGGCTTACAGCTTCCCACACCTCACTGCCACGCTCCCACGCCCCCTTCATTCTTTTGTTCAAAAGAAGAGCCACACCCTGTTGTTTGGCAGTCTGCTGCCCCGAGTAGAGGACTGTCCACCCCTCATGGTGGCAGGAGCCAGAACCGGTCCACCGGACCTCCTGAATGCCACAGAGATCCAGGCGGTACCGGTCCAGCTCCCGACAGGAGTCGCAGCCTCTCCTCCGCAGTGAGCGTTCGAACATTCCACGTGGCCATCCGTAGCGGCTTTTCGTTGTTTCTGGAAGAGCCCCGAGGGTAGAGATTCAATCTCCTGGCTCCGCCAATTGGGGTTTAGCAAGGAGACGTCATAGACGCCTGTCCCCCCGGGGCCTCCGGCACAAGCTTATTAGTTAAATTTTGTATTCGTAGTTTAGTGGTAATTAATTAAAGGTGGAGGGGTTACCAGCCCCTCGCACCCGTCCAGAGCCCCCGTTTAGCCACTGTGGTGGACAGAGACGCCATGAGGGGAGGAGCCAATCGGAATTGGACCTCCCCCCACAGCACTGTCCACGACAGAGTTGCCCGTCCAGCACCACGAGGAGGTACCACGACCACCACTCCTCGCCTGCACACCCACCTGCACACCCTCCTGAACACCTATCCAACCACCTAGCCACCTGCACACTCGTCCAATCACCTACCCACCCATCCACACATCCGTTCAACCACCTACCCACCCCTCTAACCACCTATCCACCCATCCGCACACCCATCAAACCACCCACACCCCCCTAACCCACCTACCTGCACACCCAGACCCCCGCCCAATGCCCGTTCCACAGTGACACAACTGCTTACCCACACACCGGCCCACTCATCCACCCACCCTCAATTCCCTGGCTATCACCCACTACCCAGTAATACAACTGCCTTAGCAAAGTCTACACCGTCACTCACTCCATAAACTCACTTCATCATCACTCATACAATTGTATCATCAATTACACCCAATTACACTCACACCATAATGCTCACGCACCATTATCATACCATCAAGATACAATGACACCATCACCATCTCTATAACTCGCGCAATTTCACCACAACACTCGCACCATAACACTACCACCACCGCACACCGATTACGCAAGCCAGCGGGAGTGCATTCACCGCTTGTTGCAGAGCTACGTGGCTCACAAGTAACTTGTTGATGGAGTTAAAAAGTGATTTATGATCACGGGCTACTTTGCTTGCCCCGTGATGTTATCGAGGAGCTGAGGGGTTTCACCCTTCCCCAAGACCTCACAGAAATGCTCAGCAAACCTGCAGACTTGTTCCTGGTTTGGGAGTGGGGGGTTGGAGATCGCCGATCTCTCCCTTAAGGGAGGTGACAGACGCAAAACCGCAAGATGGTTTCCTCGGTGGGGGATGAGCGAGGGGTGGGTGGAGTGTGTTGAGCGGTGGTGAGCGGTGGTGAGCGGTGAGTGGCGTGTGGTCAACGGTGAGCGGCGAGCGTGGCTCACCTGCAGGGCTCGCTGCTCGCGTCCCAGCGAGCGGTGAGCGTGAGTGGCGAGCGGTGAGCGTGAGTGGTGAGCGGTGAGCGGTGAGCGTGAGTGACGAGTGGTGAGTGGTGAGTGGGGAGTGGCGAGCGGTGAGTGGCGAGTGGTGAGCGTGAGTGGTGAGCGGTGAGTGGTGAGCGTGAGTGACAGTGAGCACCGGTGAGCGTGAGTGACGAGCGGTGAGTGACGAGCGGTGAGTGGTGAGTGGCGAGCGGCGAGCGTGGCTCACCTGCAGGGCTCGCTGCTCGCGTCCCAGCGAGCGAGCGTCACCGTGCAGCTCGGCGCCGCTGCCACTCTTGAAGCGGTCGCCCACGAAGCCAGCGGAGCTGGCGATGCGCCTGGTCAGCTGGGAGCCGCCCCCGCCCTTGGCTCGCACCCCTCCCCCTTCCCCCACGGGGTCCCCGTGACCCCCGCGGTCCCCGTGACCCCCGCGGTCCCCGTGACCCCCGCGGTCCCCGTGACCCCCGCGGTCCCCGTGACCCCCGCGGTCCCCCAACCGGCCAGGATCCCGCCAGGGGAGACCTCCCCCCTCGGCGTCTGCTCGCCGCCCCTCGCTCGGCGCGGGGGGAAGGGGACGGAGAGGCGGGGCCACCGGCGGCGGCGGCGGTGGAACCAGCCGGGGGGCTCGCTGTAGGAAGCCATGGGGGGCTGGAAAATAGGGGGGGGCCCCCTGCCCCCCTTGCCTAGGACCCCTCCCCTCGCCATCCACCACCGCCCCCCTCTCCTCCTCCTCCTCAACAACAACAACCCTGGCCACCTCCGTTACTCCCCGCGGCTCCTCCTGCTGCTGCTGCCGCTGCTGCTGCTGCTCCTGTTGCTGCTGCTGCCGCTGCTGCCACTGCTGCCGCTGCTGCTGCTGCTGCTCCTCCTGCTGCTGCTGCCGCTGCTGCTCCTCCTCCTGCTGCTGCTGCTGCTCCTCCTGCTGCTGCTGCTGCTGTCGCTGCTGCTGCTGCTCCTGTTGCTGCTGCCGCTGCTGCTCCTCCTCCTGCTGCTGCTGCTGCTGCTGCCGCTGCTGCTGCTGCTCCTGTTGCTGCTGCTGCTCCTGTTGCTGCTGCCGCTCCTGTTGCTGCTGCTGCTGCTGCTGCTCCTGCCGCTGCTGCTGCTCCTGCCGCTGCTGCTGCTGCTGCTGCTGCTGCTGCGAGGTGGTGGTAGTGATGGTGGAGGAGGAGGAGGAGGAGGATCTTGATCTGGAGGTGTCCAGCAGGAGGGCAGCGGCTGGGGGCAGCAGCGAGGGCACCGGCGGCGTAGTCGTGAGGTCGTAGGGCAGGTAGCAGAAGTGGCGGCGGGCTGGGACCAGCGAGGGAGGGGCGGCGGGAGGGGCGGCGGCGGGCAGCGCCAAGGCCACACCTTCCAGTGCGGGCAGAATTGCGGGGGCGAGCACGCGAGGGGGCATGGCCATGGCCGCCGCCGCCGCCGCCGGGAAGGGCAGGCCGAAGCCGTCCGCTCGCAGCGGGCAGCAGCCACCGCCACCGCCGCCGCCGCTGCCGCCCTCGGCCAGAGCTGCCCCCAGAGCTGCCGCCCCGCCCGCCCGCTGGGGGGTGGGGGTGGGCAGCAAGAGGCCGTTGCTGTGGCAGCTGCTGATGCTGCCGTGGAACTCCAGGAACTCCTGAGGGAGGGAGGGGTGGGGTGGGTGGGTGATTGTGTGGGTGAGTGGGTGGGTGGGTGGCTGAGTGGGTGGGTGGCTGAGTGGGTGAGTGGGTGGGTGAGTGGGTGGGTGGGTGAGTGGGTGGGTGGCTGAGTGGGTGGGTGGGTGACTGAGTGAGTGGGTGAGTGGGTGGGTGGGTGGGTGACTGAGTGGGTGAGTGGGTGAGTGGGTGGGTGAGTGGGTGGGTGACTGAGTGAGTGAGTGGGTGGGTGACTGAGTGGGTGGCTGAATGGGTGAGTGGGTGGGTGAGTGGGTGGGTGGGTGAGTGGGTGGGTGGCTGAGTGGGTGAGTGGGTGGGTGGCTGAGTGGGTGGGTGAGTGGGTGGGTGGGTGAGTGGGTGGGTGAGTGGGTGGGTGACTGAGTGGGTGAGTGGGTGAGTGAGTGGGTGGGTGGGTGAGTGGGTGGGTGGCTGAGTGGGTGGGTGGCTGAGTGGGTGGGTGGCTGAGTGGGTGAGTGGGTGGGTGAGTGGGTGGGTGGGTGGGTGAGTGTGTGGGTGGCTGAGTGGGTGAGTGGGTGGATGGCTGAGTGGGTGAGTGGGTGGGTGACTGAGTGGGTGAGTGGGTGGGTGAGTGGGTGGGTGGCTGAGTGGGTGGGTGGCTGAGTGGGTGGGTGACTGAGTGGGTGAGTGGGTGGGTGAGTGGGTGAGTGGGTGGGTGAGTGGGTGGGTGGCTGAGTGGGTGGCTGAGTGGGTGGGTGGCTGAGTGGGTGGGTGGGTGACTGAGTGGGTGGGTGAGTGGGTGGCTGAGTGGGTGGGTGAGTGGGTGGATGAGTGGGTGGGTGGCTGAGTGGGTGGCTGAGTGGGTGGGTGGCTGAGTGGGTGGGTGGCTGAGTGGGTGAGTGGGTGGGTGAGTGGGTGGATGAGTGGGTGGGTGGCTGAGTGGGTGGCTGAGTGGGTGGGTGGCTGAGTGGGTGGGTGACTGAGTGGGTGAGTGGGTGGGTGAGTGGGTGAGTGGGTGGGTGAGTGGGTGGGTGGCTGAGTGGGTGGCTGAGTGGGTGGGTGACTGAGTGGGCGACTGGGTGGGTGGCTGAGTGGGTGGCTGAGTGGGTGGGTGAGTGGGTGGGTGACTGAGTGGGTGAGTGAGTAGGTGGCTGGGTGGGTGACTGAGTGGGTGGCTGAGTGGGTGGGTGAGTGGGTGGGTGACTGAGTGGGTGAGTGGGTGGGTGACTGAGTGGGTGGGTGAGTGGGTGGGTGGATGGCTGAGTGGGTGGCTGAGTGGGTGGGTGAGTGGGTGGGTGAGTGGGTGGGTGACTGAGTGGGTGAGTGGGTGGGTGACTGAGTGGGTGGGTGGGTGAGTGGGTGAGTGGGTGGCTGAGTGGGTGGCAGAGTGGGTGGGTGAACTGACACACATCTGGCAGGATGGTGACGTAACAGACGAATCCAGGACTCAGTCATGAACCAGTAAACGAGAGAGAGAGGGGGAGGAGTGTTGCTCCACTGGGGGGCTGGAGGGAGGCGCTGTCTCCCCCCCATCGATGCAGGCGTGCGTTTTGGCGTGTGCTTGTGTGTGTGTGTGCTTGTGTGTGTGTGTGCTTGTGTGTGTGTGTTTGTGCTTCCGTGTGTGTGTGTGCGCACGTGTGTGTGTGTGCTTGTGTGTGTGTGTGCTTGTGTGTGTGTGCTCGTGTGTGCTTGTGTGTGTGCTTGTGTGTGTGTGTGCGCGCGTGTGTGTGCTTGTGTGTGTGTGTGCTTGTGTGTGTGTGTGCTCGTGTGTGTGCTTGTGTGTATGTGTGTGTGTGTGCACGCGTGTGTGTACGTGTGCTTGTGTGTGTGCTTGTGTGTGTGTGTGTGCTTGTGTTAGTGTGCTCGTGTGTGTGCTTGTGTGTATGTGTGTGTGCACGCGTGTGTGTGTGTGTGCTTGTGTGTGTGTGCTTGTGTGTATGTGTGTGTGCACGCGTGTGTGTGTGTGTGCTTGTGTGTGTGTGCTCATGTGTGTGCTTGTGTGTGTGTGTGTGCTTGTGTTAGTGTGCTCGTGTGTGTGCTTGTGTGTATGTGTGTGTGTGTGCACGCGTGTGTGTGCGTGTGCTTGTGTGTGTGCTTGTGTGTATGCTTGTGTGTGTGCTTGTGTGTGTGCTTGTGTGTGTACTTGTGTGTATGCTTGTGTGTGTGTGCTTGTGTGTGTGTGTGCTTGTGTGTGTGCTTGTGTGTGTGCTTGTGTGTGTGCTTTGTGTGTGTGTGTGCTTGTGTGTGTGTGCGCGCGCGCGTGTGTGCTTGTGTGTGTGCGTGTGTGTGTGTGCGTGTGCTTGTGTGCGTGTGTGTGTGCTTGTGTGTGCGCGTGTGTGTGCGCGTGTGTGTGCGCGTGTGTGTTTGTATGCGTGCGTGTGTGTGCGCGTGTGGAGAGCGTGCATGTGTGTGCGCGTGTGTGTGTGCGTGTGTGTGCGCGTGCGTGTGTGCGCGCGTGTGTGTGTGCTTGTGTGTGTGCGCGTGCGTGTTTGTATGCGTGCGTGTGTGCTTGTGTGTGTGGAGAGCGTGCACTCACAGCGTAGTGGGGGTAGCGTCGTGCTGGAGTTTTGTCCGTGGGGGGCTGTGAGACCCCCTCTGACACGTCCATCACATCCGACCTGCAGCACCCACCAAACACAACAACACACAGAGTGACACAAGGGGTGACAGAGACATAGGTCACCCACCCCCTGTGTAGCCACACACATGCTGTTGGGGCAAGTGCTGTTGGGGCAAGTGCTGTTGGCGAGTAACACGGTGCACACGCATGTACACACGAACACACACCAAGCCCCACATGTACACACACCGCAAGTACACTCACATGTACACACGTACACACACCACACGTACACACACCATACGTACAAACACTATGCGTACACACATACACACCGCACATATACACACTACACATAATATGTACACACACTACAACAACAACAACCGCCATTCGCCACTAAGTGGCGGTGACGTCACCACGACGCTTGTGCCAGGCCATGTGCACCTTGAGGCCACGTGAAGTGTCGAACGCCCGCTGGCAGGAGGTCATGGGGCAGATCCAGGTGCCACGGGTCGACTGACTGAGATGACTGAGATGACTGGCTGATGCACCACCTGTGCCCCCTACTGTGCCAACCTGCTGTGCTTTAGCCACCCGGCTTTCCGCTCGTTGTTGTGAGCGTCGTTCCTCCGCCCTCCGTTGTTGTTGGAGGGCGACTGCCTCCAACTGCCCAGCAGCGTCCTTCACGAGCCTCCTCCACAGAGGCCGATCTTGACACCGCTGGTAGCAGTCATCGGAAAGTCCACTCAGCTCCACGTCGTCCTGTACCACATCACTCCATCTCTTCTCTAGCCCGTGCCGCGCCCGTTTAGCCCCTCGATCCGGCCGAACAAAAGCTGTTTCAGCATGCGGTGGCTGGGCATGCGGGCTACATGACCCAGCCAACGCAGCCTTGCCCGCCGGAGGAGCTCACCAATGGGACCTTGCCCAGTCGAGCGGCAATATCTTTTCATCGGTTGCGTAACGCTGTGTGGAAGCTACCTGGTCTGTCGCTCCGCACTAAGCTTCAGGTCTTCTCGGCCACGGTCATTCCCTCCCTTCTCTACGCTTGCGAAACGTGGACCCCCCTAATGGAACATCTTCGCCTTGTTAGAAACATTTAGGCTGGCCTGCCTACGATCCATCCTGGGTTTAACCAGACTGGATTGTGTGAGGAGCTCACAAATCCTTGAAAGATCTGGGCAATGTCCCATTGGTGTATGCACACACACAGAGTCACAGACACACCCACACACCTGTGCACGCTGGGCCACATCGAGTCATGATGATGCTGCTGCTGCTGCTGCAAATCGAGGTGATGAGACAGATCCCTGTGCGTTACATGAGCCTGCACACAGACACACGGACACAGACAAAAAGACAAAGATCCCCCGTGTAGCCTTAACAGACTTTTGGGGTAAGTGCTGTTAGCGAGCACCTATGAAGGCCGGCAAGGCACACGAGGGAGTGGGTGACCAGTAACGCGCCCGACCGCCTTTGTCTCCCCAGCTGCGATGTTTACACACCGCACCAGGCTGAGTTGATCAGGGAGAGGCTCAGGTACCAGTTCAGATAATCGTCACCGGTGTTGGCCGTGAGCGGGAATCGATTTGGGGCCACCGGGTTCGTAGCGCAGCGTAGCGCTAACCGCTACACTACCGCTCACAGATTCACGCAGACACACACACAGACACAGACACAGGTCCCCCATATAGCCTTCAACAGACTTCTAGGCCAAGTGCCCCGTCATAGATCATGGCTGTCGCCTGATGAGGCTCGTTGAGGTGGGTTTTACTCTACCAACACAACAACGGGTGTCGCGCTGAACTAGTTAACGCAATTGGCGCATGTTTAGTTTACATGACTAAACTTTCACTGATTGGCTGTGTCGGGTGGTAGTGGTGGTGGTGGTTGCGGGTTGAACGACACATTTATATTTTACGTCTTCTTCTTCTTCTTTGTGTTTCCTGTCCCACCTATAAAGTCTTTTCCCAATATTCTTCAGAGGCCACCACTTCTAGTCTCGGCGTTGCCAAATCCTGAGCAGTGCATTGTGGTGCTGCAGGGCATCTCGGGAGATGAGTCACGTGGTTGTGTCTCTCCTGACAAGCACATTGTCCGGTTGCGCAGAAGCCCCATGGTTTCGCGAGAGTTGCATCTGCCCAAACTCACTCTCAGTCCGTTTAGACTCCGCCATGCGAGCCATTTGGAATTGGAGCCAGATGCAGGCTCCTCACTGGGGATGATTCCTCGCCGGCTTCATTGAGCAGAGTTGCCACTTGATTTCTCCCGTTCTTTCTGCCAGAGGGAAGTTCTAGCGCATTCCGACGATGTGGTCAGTGGAGTACAATAAGTTGTTTCTCGATGATAGAGGATGACGGGTGTGCTGGCTGATGGCTATGTAGCGGATGACGGACGTCCCACTCTGACTTGCCGGTCGTGGTGGTCACCTGCTACCTTTCTCCTGATGTTAGGGGGCGCTATGCCAGATAGTGAAATGTAGGCAGGGAACGTGTGATTTAGGGCAGTGTCAACATCTTTACTGTGGGTTGAGCATCCCCAGGTAGAGCACGCATCTTCCGCCACAGAGAGACAAAGTGCAAAGGAAGTGGCGAGTCGAGTGGATGGATGCGCTCCCTTCTTAGAATTTGCGAGCTTTCGTTGAATGCTGTTTCGCGTGTTGATCTTGGCTTTCATATTTAATGTGTGCCTTTTGTAGCTGAGTATACGAGCCAGTGTTGCCCGAAGTGCACTGCGTGACTGGTGTTCGAGGCTCTGATCTCCCCAGGTGACAGTTAGGTGTCCCTCTGCATCCCAGGTTATCAGGTGGAAGGCACGGATTTGGGTTCTAATCGGGTTGGGTTTGAGATTATTATTTAGGGAGTATCTTGACATCTTGTCCAGTGTCTTCCCCAGGATCTTCTCTGTGTTCTCGAAATTCCTCTGTTGTGTGGTGATACAGAGGTCATCAGCTTAGATGAACCACTGACAATCAGCAGGAAGTGGCTGATCGTTGGTACAGATATTGAATAAAGGTGGGGCGAGCACACTGCCTCGTGGCAAGACATTTCTACTTTTCTGCCCGTTTAGTTCCACGTAGAAGCGTCTGTTCTCTAGGAGTCTACGAACAGCCCTGGCTAAAGTCGAGGTCGCCAGTCATGAGGTGTAGTTTGCGGATCAAGATGCGGTGTTGAACTGTGTCACATGCAGCAGATAAGATCAACAAACGCTGCGCTGGTGATCATCTCTTGTTGGTAGCCATCTTCTTAAAGGAAAAGTGAATGTTCGCGAAGAGCATGTACAGGTGACCGCCGACTTACGACCCCCCCGTTTTTATGACCATTCTTATAGTCAGTCGGACCCCCAAAGCAATGACTAAAACTCGCATCCACAACCGCCAAATGACTGCTTCCGACGCATGACATGCGCAGACTCGTCAGCAGATGTCACCGCTTTGCCCCTCTGCCGTGTGTGTAAGCAGGGTGGAACAGCTTGACAAGTCTACAGCCGCGCCGAGCACTTTTTCTGTAAAATTTCCTTCAAAGTCTGAAAATCTTTCGCCTTTCGCTACGTCTGGGAAGAGAAAATGTGATGCACATGCAGAAAAGCACTAGAGGAATGACTTCATAAATGTTTGTAAAAGTTATGTTAAGGTACAATAAATGTTTTGTTTTGGTTATTTTCGTGGTCAATTTTGGGCATGTTATGGTACGTAATGGGTTTTCACGCACGGAACCCCAATTTATAACATTGCACCTATGGGTTTTAAGGGTTGGACTTACGACGGCTCTACTTGCGACTGTAGGTGTGGTGGTCGCCTGTATGTTGAACTTTTTTCGCACCATACGTAGCCAACCGTGCGAATCTGTGGATCTCTGTGGGTGTCTCTGTGGGTGTCTCTGTGGGCCTCGGTGTCTGCGCCGTGCGTAGCCAACCGTGCTAATCTGTGGGTCTCTGTGGGTGTCTCTGTGGGTGTCTCTGTGGGTCTCGGTGTCTGCGCCGTGCGTAGCCAACCGTGCTAATCGGAGGCGCGGGGGAAAGGACAAAGAAATAAACACAACAAGCAGTCCTAAAGAAATTCCTTCGTCAATGTAGATGACTTCAAAGTGTATCATAGCTCCCAGCAGCTTTCTAATATCAGGAGGGAAAAGCATTCCAGAGGACCGCAGAAGCAGCGCTTCTGAATGCGCATCGCGATGATGCGCATTCAGAAGTCCCTTTATTGGATGGCCCGGCCAAAAGCCGCTGTACAGCGCACGAGGGGGTGGGGGGGGGGAGGTGATCATCGCCACGCCCGGCCGCCTTTGTCTTCCCCAACGCTGATTGCTCACAGACATTCGCCGCCACCACCGTTGGTTGTGAGCGGGAATCGAACTCGGCCCGCCGGGGTTCGGGGTGCCAGGCAGCGCTAACCGTGAACCGCTACACTACACTAATCTCACACACAGCCACACACAGCTACACACAGCCACACACAGACACACACAGCCACACACAGCCACACAAAGCCACACAAAGCCACACACAGCCACACACAGCCACAAACAGCCACACACAACCACACAGCCACACAGCCACACACAGCCACACACAGCCACGCAGCCACACACAGCCACACACAGCCACACACAGACACACACAGACACACCCAGACACACACAGCCACACACAGCCACACAGCCATACACAACCACACACAGCCACACAAAGCCACACACAGCCACACACAGCTACACACAGCCACACACAGCTACACACAGCCACACAACCACACAAACACACACAGCCACACACAGCCACACAGCCACACACAGCCACACAGCCACACACAGCCACACAGCTACACACAGCCACACACAGCCACACACAGCCACACCTATCCACACTCACCCACACTCACACCCACCTTTCCACACTCACCCACACTCTCCCACACTCATCCACACTCTCCCACACTCACCCACACTCTCCCACACTCACCCACACTCTCCCACACTCTCCCACACTCACACCCAACTACCCACACTCACCCACACTCACACCCACCTATCCACACTCACCCACACTCACACCCACCTATCCACACTCACCCACACTCACACCCACCTAACCACACTCACCCACACTCACACCCACCTACAAACAAAGATCCCCCATATAGCCTCAACAGACTGTAGGGGCAAGTGCTGTTAGCGAGCACCTATGAAGGCCGAAACGGTCCACGAGGGGGTGGGTGGCCAGCACCACGCCCGACCGCCTTTGTCTCCCTAGTGGCGATATTTACACACCGCACCAGGTACTCATTTGAGGCTGAGTCGACCTAGGGGAGGCCTGGGACCGGTTCAGATAATCGTCACTGGTGTTGGCCGTGAGCGGGAATCGAACCCGGGTCGCCAGGTTCATAGCGCAGCGCGTTAACCGCTACACTACCGCTCCCCACTCACCCACACTCTCCCACACCCACCCACACTCACACCCACCTACCCACACTCACCCACACTCTGCCACACTCACCCACACTCACACCCACCTACCCACACTCACTCACCCAGACTCACACCCACCTAGCCACACTCACCCACCTACCCACACTCTCCCACACTCACCCACCTACCCACACTCACACCCACCTACCCACACTCACACCCACCTACCCACTCGCTCCCCCACACTCACCCACACTCACACCCACTCACACCCACACTCACACCCACCTACCCACACTCACACCCACCTACCCACTCGCTCCCCCACACTCACCCACACTCACACCCACCTACCCACACTCACACCCACCTACCCACACCCGCACCCACCTACCCACACTCACACCCACCTACCCACACTCACCCACACTCACACCCACACTCACCCACACTCACACCCACCTACCCACACTCACACCCACCTACCCACACCGACACCCACCTACCCACACCCACCTACTCACACCCACCTACCCAGACTCACACCCACCTACCCACCCCCACACCCACCTACCCACACTCACACCCACATACCCACACTCACACCCACCTACCCACACGCTCTCCCACACTCACCCACACTCACACCCACCTACCCACACCCACCTACCCACACTCACACCCACACCCACCTACCCACACCCACCTACCCACACCCACCTACCCACACTCACACCCACACCCACCTACCCACACTCACACCCACCTACCCACACTCACCCCCACCTACCCACACTCACCCAGACTCACACCCACCAACCCAGACTCACACCCACCAACTCACACTCGCACCCACCTACCCACACTCACACCCACACCCACCTACCCACACTCTCCCACACTCACCCACACTCACACCCAC